ACTATAGCTAAATCCTCGTGGCTGGAATAACTTAAGATCGTTGACAACTTACTGACCTTGAGTTTCTGAACTTATTAAACCAGGTGTTGTTTGTGCTGGCGCAGCAAATTCAAATAGGCCAAAGATGTTCCATGTATAAAGTTGGAAAATTTTCTTGGTTAGTACCCTAAGGTCGTTCTGATATTTGTTTGCATTGCATATGCTGCAAATGTTACGCAATTTGTCTGGTGTGGTGATAACCCTCAGATTTTTTCTTGCTCGTAATTTGTCAATTTCTTAATTCCGTTTTTAGTCATCCTCCACATTTGACGTCTGCCATTGTTTGTGCTGGTAACCTCTTGGGCGGAGGGAGGGGGGAGACAAACACTTGAAGGGCATACATTTAGTTAGTCCTAGACAATTGTCGTGCAGATTAAACTAACGCTGTTTATACGAAACATTAACGTGCAACGGAAATGGGGGCAGAGTGAACTCGGCTGCTGGTTTAATAAGGTCCAATTTTACCCGTGAGAGCCTGATAAATCTTGTTAATTGGCTTCATTATGCCCCTGGCCTGCCACTCACCTCGCTGGTGTAATGTCGACACATTCCTCCTCTTAGTCAGCTTCCTCCTTCCTTGCCCCTTTTGGTTTCTTTCCATTTAAGTAATTTTTTTGACCTTTCACAATCCCCCCCCTTCCACATTTTCTCACCTTCCCGCCACGTTCTCGTTTCTTTCTGCTTTCTCCTTGCCACTTTTCTCCCTGCCACATTTTTTTTCTACCACGCTCTGTGGCACGCTTTTTTTTTCTCAACTGCCCGTTTATTTTTTTTTTCCCTTCCACTTTTCCTAGTCCCAGGTTTTTCTTCGTAATGCGTACTATTTAAATATATATCAAACATAAAAATAATGGTATTCGTGACTTTTATTAAGCAGTAGTAGTTTAATGACTAACATCATTGTAATTATGTTTATTGACCCAAAGTGTTGAAACAACTCATCTTCATTAGCTTTATGAGGATAATATTCCTGTTCATTGGATATACAATTTTTTTGAAACTGCAACAAATATTTGAGTAATACAAACGATGCTTTATGGAAGACTAATGTGGAACAGTTTCTCATGAATTTGAAGAAAAATTTCCCAATATATTGGTAAATGTACATACTGTTTTTCTTTATGGAAGACACTGCAAGCAGAGACTGTGTACCACTAAGAATTTTTTTTTTAGTTGCGATTTTAAGAACATTTTTTATAGTAATTGTGTACTTCAAAAGTTTTGTTAGAGGCAAATCATGATTTTTGTGATGATACAACATAAAACATAAGCTCCTCTTGCTCAGTAATAACCCTCATGGAGACAAATTCGGGGGATTAATTGATCTGTATATTTTGACCCCCCTTTTAGAACCCTCTTAAGCAGATGATGATCCTTGAAGGGGAGGGGGGTGCAATATACAGATCAGTTTATCTCCCTAGTATCATTAAAATGGGCTGTGCAAGCCGGGGATCGATGATAGGGCTTCGGAGGCTTGTTACTTTTGGGTTCTACACAGGCAGTGTGTTATGGCGGCCCAGGCCTGGAGGGCCATGCCCGTGGGAGAGTGACAGAGTAAACGATTGTTGTCTGAGTGACGTCGGCTGCCAGAGTGACGCAGGGTAAGCATGGTGCGAGCTGAGCTTGGTAGGCCTATGCCACTAGGTGTCAGCACCATAGTGCCGTGAAATATGAACACAAATGGGCATACATTGCTTGGCCACCTACACATGGTTGTCCTCGACCATTATTGACTAAAAAAAATTATTGGTCTCAGGAACAGGGCACAGAACACACAATAAAATCATATATATACATGTCGACATGGACAAAAAAAAAAACTTTCTATAGGGAGGGAAGAAAAAAAAAGGTGTTAAAACATCGTGGTCCAAGGCTTTGGTGGGCATCGCTGCATGCCTTCCTGCGTCTGGACAGATACTACAACACAAGAAACATGCTGCTATGGCGTATCGGGGTACGGTCTTGTCTGGAACGGTGAAGTAGTCGCTGCAGGGTTCACTCATCCTGGGGCACAACCTGCTGGTGCCCTAGAATGAGGCATCGTCAGTACTTGGCAACTGGGCAGGACTTCTGGTAAGCGACTTAGAACATTTCTTGACTGGTACTGTCGCTGGGGCTGACACTGCCGGCAAGAGTTACCTGGAGGTGGAGCAAGTCATAGCAGGGACAACAGGCGAAACATCTGGGAGTTGTAGCAGCATATGCTGTAACTGGAGTGAGTAGGCTAGCAGTCAAAGTGGATATACTTTGTGCAGGCTGCTCACTCAAGATGTGACATGAGTCAGTCGTCTGCCGACAGGGCTACTGTAAGTTGACGATGTCATCCTTTCGGAGTCAGAGTCTCCTCTGACTCTGACTCCTCCTCTGAGCGTCCCCAGACTGGGGTCCGCTGACAACTGCACTCTGATGGTCAGAAGGTGGAGTGATAGGAGTCTCAACAGGGAGTCTTAGCAGGTACGACTCGAGCATGGCATCTATGAGTGGCGAGCATAAGAGCTTCCTGTACGTGGGGACTCAACACTCATAACTGAAGCCTGGACTGACTAGTGTCATTTGTCGGTCACAACACTGTGATGTAACATGAGCGTGTTACCAATGGTCTGGGTTCAGATCACACTGTGGTCTACATACATCTGGACTCAGACCACTCCATCAGGGGACACACGTAAAACTGCACATACTTGCACTGCATATGCGGTTACAACACGGCTTGCACTAGCACATGATGCTTTTCTCTACAGAAATTGACACTGCGGCAATCACGAACATGTGAGAATGCTAAAACAGGAACACTGACTGAGAGGAATTAACACGTGACATATCTTCTCTCAGTTGTTCTGGACAATACTAAATACAAATTGTTCACTGTGAAACTAGAACACTGTCGATGTGACATCATGTGGTGATGTCAGGCGTGACGTTGTGAGGGATGTGGGATGACATGTAGCAATGTCAGGCAGCATGGTGACATCGCGAGGTGATATCGTGGGGTGACATGAGATGACGTTGGGGCAGACGTCCAGAGTGACGTCTGGCAGACATGCAGAGCGACGTCTGACAGACATGCAGAGCGACGTCTGACAGACATGCAGAGCGACGTCTGGCAGACATGCAGAGCGACGTCTGGCAGACGTCCTGGAGTGATGTCGCAAGGTAGTGTCAGGCAGCATGGTGACATCGTGTGACGTTAGGTAGCATGGTGATGTCAGGCAACGTTCTGGAATGACGTCATGGGTGATGCCAGGCAGCAGACATGTGGCTCGCTTCACATGGCTTGTAGATCCATGTGGCTTTATCCACACGTGGCTTCAAGTGACCTTGGGCACTTGGATACAAAGCTCTCGTGAGAATTCACACTGAATTCAGAGAGAAAACAGCAGAGGCAGTAAGTAGCATAGTGGTGTATGGTGGTGCGAGATAAGCATGGGTGAAGTGAGAACTCCGCCACTCTCCCTCCCCTACCCACAAACACGTGGAGAAACAACCACACTGGACACAGAGCACCACACAACTCGTCTCTGACTTACTGAAATAGCCATGCTAAGCTGTACAGCGTGGGACACTGAAAACCCAGGATTTCTCAAAAGAAAATCCAGCAAGTTTCGGCCTGGTTCCTACTGATCCCGTGTCTGATGAAATTTGCAGACACAACTTCGGGACAACTCGTAGAGAGACACATGCAGCATGTCTAGGCATTGAAGTAGACAGCATCTTCCTTCCCCTCTCCGTTCAAACACGCTGTGACCGCCTCTGGCCACCATTTATCATTGTTAAAATGGGAGCTGTGCAAGCGGGGATCAATGATAAGGCTTTGGAGGCTTGTTACTTTGTTTGAGCTCTTCTACACAGGCAGTGTGTTATGGCGGCCCATGCCCGGAGGGCCATGCCTGTGAGAGAGTGATGGAGTAAACGCTTGTTGTCTGAGTGACGTTGGCTGCCAGAGTGAGGCAGGTTAATTTAAGTGTGGTGTGAGCTGAGCTTGGGAGGCCTATGCCACTAGGTGTCAACACCATAGTGCCGTGAAATATGAACCCAACTGGGCATACACTAGTTTATCTCCATGTGGGTTATTACTGAGCGTTCACAGGTATTCATTACACTTTAGTTATTCATAAGCACCCACTTGTTTGACAAAATGATCATTGTTAAATAAAGCCTGAAGAGACCAGAAATTTTTTGTAGCATCGCATGACTGAAGTAGCTACTTACTATTTTATGATATTTATTTCCCATGCTTAAGGAATGTTCGTAAAGCACGAAACTTGTAGCCTTTTCTAACACGGCAGCATTGTACATATTAAGGTATTATCTGTGGTGTATTCTGCTTGCTCTGTGTAAGAACCCTTCAAGGGAGGTTCCTTGATGCTGGTGAGGGGATCTTGATCTAGGGAATTGGATCTGTGCTTCAGTTCCCTGAATTGAGCCTGAATGCCATACCCCACAGGCGCTGTACAATCCCTACGGGTTTAGTACTCCCCATGTTAATTGTGTAAATACAATAGTAGTGTTAGTACTAGTTTTGGTAATAATTGAATGTTATTAATATCTCCCAAAATAACAATTTGCATAGTAAATAACTATTTACTCCGTGGTGTAAGTATCGTAAAATATACAATAATGCTCAAGTTCTGTGAAGACCAGTATTCAGTTTTCAGTGCCATTTGTTTATGGGTAGGACAAATACTTTTCTGTACTTATGCATGTACAGTATATGCACACATACATACAAACATATACATGCCTGTACCACACTTGACCTGCACTTAGCACTGCTCCCCTTTCATTGGCATAATGTAATTTTATTTATACTGTATGTAATAGTTTGTAATTTATTGTTTTTGTGTATAGAATGATGAGGTATTAAAAATTTTGTGTATTTATTCTGGATGTAAATGTATATATTTGGTGTGTGGGGTTAATATTTGCTATATTATATGTACAACTATATATGTGTGGAACAGACTGGCAGTGGTGATGGGTCAGAGTGCGAGCCCTGTCAAATTCTTCTGGAGGAGCGACTCGTCAAGACAAATCCCATCTGGTTTCAACCTGACCTCCAGCGATCAGGCGCTGTTCATCTACTTCAAGGAAAGGATGAAGGGGTAGGTACTGAACCATACTTGGTTTATTCATCAGAGAAAATCGCCTGGTACAGATCTTTTAGGGACAAAATAGCCGTTGTTTCTGTGGTGGACCAAACTAAATTTGCCATATGTCATTTAGTCACCTAATCATCATCCTTTTTTTTTATGATAATTCTATTGTACTTTTTATAAGCTATATAGAAGTTGGGCTATTTTCGTCTTTAATTCATCCACTTTCTTTGCGATATCTTACCCAAAGGATTAGCACACGGATATGCTAATTGCAAAAGCTCATGCTTAAAAAACCTTTATCACAGTATAAATAGACACAGTATGTTTCTTAAACAAGCAAGTGGCGAGGCCTGATCATTGACCCCTGTAACCTCTTCAGGTATATTCCAGGTAACATATGCATTATAATATTTTATACCAAAACAGTACATGTGTTTTGCTGTCTGGAATTCTTACTTGGTGAGCAGCAATTGAAGAGGAATAACTATAGTTTTATGTACTAAATGTTGCCTAGAATAATAAACATACCTGGATTAGGCAATCACGATGAGGGCCCTAATGAACTTAATTCTTTGAGAATTTCCTAACTTTTTTTTACTAAGGCATTTGAGGCAGTTGACCAAGATTAAGAATGTAATATTGTGTATATATGGACTCCAGTAATATCTTTGACAGTTCCACACAGAAGACTGGTGAAAAAGTAGTGACATGTGGTATCTCCTGGGCCCAGTCATGGTTGACTGATAAGCAACAGAGTTTGCATAAATGAGGAGAAATCAGAATGGGGATCCTTGTTCACAGTCTACATTAGCAACTGAGATTAGGGAACAAATGGTGACACAGCCAAGTTTGCTGATGACGCTAAAATGACCATAAAATAATTCCTGAGTCACCAGAAAGCTACAGATGACTTGGATAAGTTGATGCTGTGGTCAGAGAAGTGGCTGATTCAGGCAAATTTGAACAAATGTAAGGTTCTTATCGTAACAGAGAATAACTATAGTACTAGTAAGCTAAATAATGTAGCTCTCAGTCAAATGGGTTATGAAAAAGATTTTGTTCTGATTAGCAAAAAATTGAAAACTAAGGCAGAAGTGCATAATAAATGTTCACAATAAAGCTAATAGAGTTCTTGGTTTTGTATTAAAAAATTTAAATAATAGAAGGTCTAGGTTATATGTACTTGAACTTCATATATCTTTAAGAAGGCTTCATTTAGATTATGCTGCTCAGTTTTGGTCTCCATATTACAGAATGAACATAAATACACTAAGCTAATCCCATGTATAAGAAATCGTTCCTTCGTAGATAGGCTGAAGACATAGAATTTACATTCTCTGGAAAAATTTAGAATCAGTGTGATGTGACTAAAGTATACAAGTGGAACACTGAAATAAATAAAGGGGATATGAATAACATACCTGGAGAGGGTTTTGGGGGTGAGTGCCCCTGCAGCTTGGCCAGTTATAGATTAAACTGGGCAAATTTAGATTTAGAAAAGATGTAGTGAAGTACTGGTTTGGCAGTAGAGTTCTAAATAAGTGAAACAAACTCAAAGTAGTGTCATTGAAGTGAGAAGTGTGGGTAGCGTTAAATATATGTGGCATGATTACATGGGCAATTGTGGTTGAGGGTTAATTAACACAGCCACATCAGCACTCAACCTGCAGCACTTAACTGCAGCACTCCACTTACGTTCTTATTCAAAATCATAAAATGCAGCTTTTGCATATCATGTATAATTTTTTATTTTATTTTATTATCACACTGGCCGATTCCCACCAAGGCAGGGTGGCCCAAAAAAGAAAAACTTTCACCATCATTCACTCCATCACTGTCTTGCCAGAAGGGTGCTTTACACTATAGTTTTTAAATTGCAACATTAACACCCCTCCTTCAGAGTGCAGGCACTGTACTTCCCATCTCCAGGACTCAAGTCCGGCCTGCCGGTTTCCCTGAACCCCTTCATAAATGTTACTTTGCTCACACTCCAACAGCAGGTCAAGTATTAAAAACCATTTGTCTCCATTCACTCCTATCAAACACGCTCACGCATGCCTGCTGGAAGTCCAAGCCCCTCGCACACAAAACCTCCTTTACCCCCTCCCTCCAACCTTTCCTAGGCCGACCCCTACCCCGCCTTCCTTCCACTACAGACTGATACACTCTTGAAGTCATTCTGTTTCGCTCCATTCTCTCTACATGTCCGAACCACCTCAACAACCCTTCCTCAGCCCTCTGGACAACAGTTTTGGTAATCCCGCACCTCCTCCTAACTTCCAAACTACGAATTCTCTGCATTATATTCACACCACACATTGCCCTCAGACATGACATCTCCACTGCCTCCAGCCTTCTCCTCGCTGCAACATTCATCACCCATGCTTAACACCCATATAAGAGCGTTGGTAAAACTATACTCTCATACATTCCCCTCTTTGCCTCCAAGGACAAAGTTATTGTCTCCACAGACTCCTAAGTGCACCACTCACCCCTTTTCTCCTCATCAATTCTATGATTCACCTCATCTTTCATAGACCCATCCACTGACACGTCCACTCCCAAATACAGTGGATCCCCGGTTAATGATATTTTTTCACTCCAGAAGTATGTTCAGGTGCCAGTACTGACCGAATTTGTTCCCATAAGGAATATTGTGAAGTAGATTAGTCCATTTCAGACCCCCAAACATACACGTACAAACGCACTTACATAAATACACTTACATAATTGGTCGCATTCGGAGGTGATCGTTATGCGGGGGTCCACTGTATCTGAATACATTCACCTCCTCCATACTCTCTCCCTCCAATCTGATATCCAATCTTTCATCACCTAATCTTTTTGTTATCCTCATAACCTTACTCTTTCCTGTATTCACTTTTAATTTTCTTCTTTTGCACACCCTACCAAATTCATCCACCAATCTCTGCAACTTCTCTTCAGAATCTCCCAAGAGCACAGTGTCATCAGCAAATAATTATACAAATAATTATACAAATTATTTGTATGTGCTGTAATGCTCTTCTGCACATATTCATCTAAAGAACTAGCAGTATACTTTGGATAATCTAGAAAAGGTAAATTAATTGTTACAGAGTGCCAGTACATAAATATGTTCAGCATGTTAAAACTGAAAATAATAAATATTTTATTTTCAGAACTTCATCGTTCGTCAGAGCAGCAAACCCAACACCCGTGCCCTGAGTGTGAGGTTGCCTCCTGACAAGGGACCGGACATACAACACTACCTCATTGAAATACACAACGACGGGACTTCATACTCTCTGGAAGCCTCGGAGAACCGTTTTGATAAACTCCCAGCTCTCATTGCCTATTACTCACAGTGCTGGTAAGAAAGAGCTAATTTTGGTTCATTGGGGTTTGTTGGTCTTTGATGGTGAGGGATGGTAACCTAAGATGTTTCCAGGGATCAATGTCCCTGTGTCCCAATCCCAGACCAGGCCTTCAAGTAGATCAGGGACTTAACCAGACTGAAAAATGATATGGTGATACCGACAAGATGTGGAACAAGACACTTGTGTACAGGCAGACCCTGCTTTACAGCGCTTAGCTTCACAACATTTTTCTAATGCAGTGGTTTTCAATTACCTGTTCTTCATTTATTCAGACTTCCAGTAATAAATATATTCACTACTCACTACAAGCTAAGAACAAAAATATTTTAAGTAATGTGTGTGTACTGTATATGCATTTTTTAGGCCTATCTCTGTTGCTCACTTAATATATGATAGTGTAAACATGTTATCAGGCTTTTGTATGCATTTGAAAGTGAAAAAAGGCTGTCACTTCGCAGTGATTTTTGCTTTACAGCAGCAGCCTGGAACCTAACCTGCTGTATTAGCGGGGCCCTCCTGTACAGTTCAGGACATTTATTAGAGGAAACATTTCGCCATGTGTGGCTTCTTCAGTCCTAGGACTGAAGAAGCCACACATGGTGAAATGTTTCCTCTAATAAATGTCCTGAACTGTACATAAGTGTCTTTTTCCACATCTTAACCAGGTTATGAAAGACTACAATTGAGTGAATGTGTTTTCTTCTTTGGACCACCCTGCCTTGGCTGGAGATGGCCATTGGATTAAAAAACATATGCAGTAGACCCTCCATAGCCATGGATTCAGTTTCCACAGTTTGTTATCTGAAGGTTTGCCTTGGCATGAAAATAACCCTTAATTTTTCTGAATAATGACACCAAAGCAATAAAGTACTGATGGTGGCAGTTCTTCAAAGCCAAAGATAAGCTGTGAAGTGCTACTCTGAAGTGGTACCAACACTGCTATATGGGTGTGAAGCTTAGGTTGTAAATGCTGAAGGAAAGAGACCGCTGGAGGCAGTGGAGATGTCCCGTCTAAGGGCAATGTGTGGTGTAAATATTATGCAGAGGATTCATAGTGTGGAAATTAAGAGAAGGTGTGGAGTTAATAAAAGTATTAGTCAGAGGGCCAAAGAGGGGGTGTTGAGGTGGTTTGGTCATTTAGAGAGAATGGAACAAAGAATGACTTGGAGAGCATATAAATCTGTAGGGTAAGGAAGATCCAGTAGAGGTCGTCTTCGAAAAAGTTAGAGGGAGGGGGGTAAAGGAGGTTTTGTTTAAATTGCCAAAATTTTAAATGGAATTAGACCCTTACATTGTTTTAATTGTATTTAATTACGTTTTTAATATGAATCGCAAAGTAAATATATCAGATAAGTAAATATATCAGATAAAGTAAGAGTGATAAATAGCTGTGTGACCGGCTGCGGCTTCTTCTTCTTCTTTTCTTCTCTTCTTTTCTTCTTCTTCTTTTCTTCTTCTTCTTTTCTTCTTCTTCTTTCTTCTTCTTTTCTTCTTCTTTTCTTCCTTCTTCTTTTTCTTCTTTCTTCTCTTTTCTTCTTCTTCTTTTCTTCTTCTTCTTCTTCTTTTCTTTCTTCTTCTTCTCTTCTTCTTCTTTTCTTCTTTCTTCTTCTTCTTCTTTTCTTCTTCTTCTTCTTCTTCTTCTTCTTCTTTTCTTCTTCTTCTTTTCTTCTTCTTCTTTTCTTCTTCTTCTTTTCTTCTTCTTTTCTTCTTCTTCTTTTCTTCTTCTTCTTTTCTTCTTCTTCTTTCTCTTCTTTCTTCTTCTTCTTCTCTCTTCTTCTTTTCTTCTTCTTCTTCTTCTTCTTCTTCTTCTTCTTCTTCTTCTTCTTCTTCTTCTTCTTCTTCCTTCTACTCTTCCTTCTTCTCTCTCTTCTTCTCTCTTCTTAACTCTACTATCACTTCTTCTCTTCTCTTCATATACACTTCTTCCTATCTAACAATCAGCCCATTTCCTCACCTGTCAGAGTGACCTGATAAAACTGAAAACCTTTCCCATTCACTCTATCACGTCTTCCAGTGCAGCTTCCTACAGTCTTGAAAAACTCACATTAACACCCCTCCTTCTAGTACAGACCACTGTCTTCCCATCACTCCAGATCAAGTACCCCTCTGCCGGTTCCTGAATCCTTCAGTGTCCCCTGCCAACACCCCAACCCCCACCGTCGAATGTTTAAATCCCATTTGTCTCCATTCACTCCTATCAAGTACACTCCTGCAGCTTCCTGGAAGTCCAGGCCCCTCGCACACAAAACCTCCTTTACCCCCTCCCTCGAACTTTTTTGAGGACGACCCCTACCTTGCCTTCTCTCCACTACAGATTTATACACTCTCGACATCATTCTATTTTGTACCTTCCTCTCTACATGTCTGAACCACCTCAAAAAACCTTCCTCAGCTCTCTGGATAATAGTTTTGGTAATCCCACACCTCCTCCTAATTTCCAAACTACAAATTCTCTGAATTATATTCACACCACACACTGCCCTCAGACAAGACATCTTCACTGCTTCCAGCCTTCTCCTTGTTGCAACATTCACTACCCATGCTTTACATCCATATAAGTGTTGGTATAACTATACTCTCATACAGTCCCCTCTTTGCTTCCATGGACAAAGTTCATTGTCTCCACAGACTCCTAAGGGTACCACTCACCCTTTTTCCCTCATCAATTCTATGATTCACCTCATCCTTCATAGACCCATCTGCTGACACGTCCACTAATAATAATAATAATTAAAACTGAGACATGATTTACAGTGTGGAACAATGCTGATGACTTGTTAGTATTAGCTATAGTAAAAATTACTAATACAGTACTGTACATATATATATATATAGATGGGGTTGTAAAGGAAGTAAATGCTAGGGTGTTCGGGAGACGGGTGGGATTAAATTTTGGGGAATCAAATTCAAAATGGGAATTGACAGTTACTTTTTGCTGATGATACTGTGCTTATGGAAGATTCTGAAGAAAAATTGCAAAGGTTAGTGGATGAGTTTGGGAATGTGTGTAAAGGTAGAAAGTTGAAAGTGAACATAGAAAAGAGTAAGGTGATGAGGGTATCAAATGATTTAGATAAAGAAAAATTGGATATCAAATTGGGGAGGAGGAGTATGGAAGAAGTGAATGTTTTCAGATACTTGGGAGTTGACGTGTCAGCGGATGGATTTATGAAGGATGAGGTTAATCATGGAATTGATGAGGGAAAAAAGGTGAGTGGTGCGTTGAGGTATATGTGGAGTCAAAAAAACGTTATCTATGGAGGCAAAGAAGGGAATGTATGAAAGTATAGTAGTACCAACACTCTTATATGGGTGTGAAGCTTGGGTGGTAAATGCAGCAGCGAGGAGACAGTTGGAGGCAGTGGAGATGTCCTGTTTAAGGGCAATGTGTGGTGTAAATATTATGCAGAAAATTCGGAGTGTGGAAATTAGGAAAAGGTGTGGAGTTAATAAAAGTATTAGTCAGAGGGCAGAAGAGGGGTTGTTGAGGTGGTTTGGTCATTTAGAGAGAATGGATCAAAGTAGAATGACATGGAAAGCATATAAATCTATAGGGGAAGGAAGGCGGGGTAGGGGTTGTCCTCAAAAGGGTTGGAGAGAGGGGGTAAAGGAGGTTTTGTGAGCGAGGGGCTTGGACTTCCAGCAAGCGTGCGCGAGCATGTTAGATAGGAGTGAATGGAGACGAATGGTACTTGGGACCTGACGATCTGTTGGAGTGTGAGCAGGGTAATATTTAGTGAAGGGATTCAGGGAAACGGTTATTTTCATATAGTCGGACTCGAGTCCTGGAAATGGGAAGTACAATGCCTGCACTTTAAAGGAGGGGTTTGGGATATTGGCAGTTTTGAGGGATAAGTTGTGTATCTTTACAGTATATGTATATGCTTCTAAACTGTTGTATTCTGAGCACCTCTGCAAAAACAGTGATAATGTGTTGAGTGTGGTGAAAGTGTTGAATGATGATGAAAGTATTTTCTTTTTGGGGATTTTCTTTCTTTTTTTGGGTCACCCTGCCTTGGTGGGAGACGGCCAACTTGTTGAAAAAAAAAAAAAATATATATTCTAAGAATAAATTGGTATGCTAATATCTGGTATCTGATGAGACCAACCAAAACATTAACTGTTAAAGAAATTTACTTTGAACTCTTAATGAAAGTTGTTAAATTCTTTAAATAATTAAATTACTGATGGTCCTTCCTCTGAAATTAAGTGTATCACTTGGTTATTTGTCATACAGAAGACAAAATGCATCATGACCTAAATGCTGAATGTTACAGCACTAAGTGTGCTTTGTTTACTGCCAGATTAATGAGAAACCAGGGGGTCACACTTCAGTTCAGAGTTGTATACCTCTGAAAGGTTTCGAGTTTTTCCTATTTTGACATCTGGGCCTCGTACCAGTCTTGTCTGGTAGATTAAGTTCCATCCCATGATCTTATATATCAAGCATGTTTTATGGCCTTTTTGTGTGTTTATGTGTATGTTTGTTTTGCAAACCACTTTACCAAATAGTTGATTCAAGTATGCTTACTGATTGTAAGATGGAACTCAAAAAGCATACTGGATAAATGTTTCTGCATTTCCCCATTATTATTTCATTATAAACATTGTCATTTTGCAGTGACGAGTTGCCAGTGCAGTTAAAATTGCCTAGATCTCTTCAAGAGGCAAAATCCAGACACGAACTTGCATCTCTTGCTTTACTTGGACAAGGTGAGCATGATATTATCTATAAATTACTGTACTGTAAAAATCTGAATTGGATTCGAAATTCTGAGAATTTTCATATGTTTATCTTATCAATTTTATGTTCATTATTTTATATTTAATTTCTTTCAGAATTACTGAGTTGACATAAGATATACAGTATCTGTAAATGCTTAACATAAATTTTAAATGCTGTGTATATATATAGACAGTTGAAACACTCTTGAAGCATTGGTTACATTCCTGAAAGTCGACATGTACTGTATTGTGAAAACACACTATACAAATTGAATAACATATAGGAAATTTGAGCTGTATTCCAAATGTTTTACATATATATTGAATAACTCCCAGAGTGTAAATTTTACATTTTGGGAAAGAGCTAGGGTTAAGCTTAAAATAAGATATGTTATATTGGTTAGAATTTGAATGCTCTGTTTATTTGCAAAAGATATTTTAAACTATTGATTACACTATACCCTTCATTTTCTCCTTAAACCAGTAAATAATAGGGCTAACACGATTGGAAAATACACTGGACCACGTCTTCACTAACACTGATGATCTGATACGAAATATTACCATACCAAAAACAATGTACTGAGATTACAACATAGAGGTTCAGACATGTATGTGCAGGGCCCCAGACCAACAAAATGTAGTCAGTCATGAGGGAACCTTCACCAAATTCAACTTCAGTAACAAAAACATAAGGTGGGACCAAGTCAACCAGGTCCTAAATGATATAAACTGGGAAAATATTCTAAGCAACACAGATCCAAACCTATGTCTAGAACAAATTAACTCTGTGGCACTTGAGGTATGCTCAAGGCATATTCCTTTAAGGAAAAGGAAGAGAAGCTGTAAACTAGAGAGAGGCGCTCCCTATACAGGCGAAGGCAAAGAACAACAGCGGCTGAAAGAGGCCAATATATCTGTAATATGAAGGGAGGCACTGGTCAGAGAAGTGGCAAACATCAAACTTAAGCTAAAGGAATCTTACAGGAGTCAAGAAATGCGGGAAGAACTAAAAGCCATAAATGAACCCAAAATATTTTTCTTATGCCAAATCTGACTTGAGAATGACAAGGTCCTCTGGGTCAGTACCCTTGGAGACAATGGACAAAGTCCGTTGGTCACAGAATTATTCGTTGTTACAATCTCAGCAAAACAGTCTCTCTGTCCACCACAATTGCTATTACTGGCCATCTGATTCTCTCTCTATCTCTTTGTATATCTCTCTCTATATCTCTCTCTATATATATATCTCTCTATATATATCTCTCTCTCTATATCTCTTGCTCTATATCTCTGTCTCTGTCTGTCTCTCTCTTTCCTCTCTCTTTTCTGTATCTCTCTCTCTCTCTCTTTTCTTCTCTCTCTCTCTCTGTCTCATCTCTCTCTCTTTCGTCTCTCTGTCTCTCTCTGTCTTCTCTCTCTCTCTCTGTCTCTCTCTCTCTCTGTCCTCTCTCTCTCTCTGTCTCTCTCTCTCTCTGTCTCATCTCTCTCTCTGTCTCTCTCTCTCTCTGTCTCTCTCTCTGTCTCTCTCTCTCTGTCCTCTCTCTCTCTTCTCTGTCTCTCTCTCTCTCTCTCTCTGTCTCTCTGTCTCTCTCTTCTCTCTGTCTCTCTCTCTCTCTCTGCCCTCTCTCTCTCTCTCCTCTCTCTCTCTCTCTCTCTCTCTCTCTCTCTCTCTCTCTCTCTCTCTCTCTCTCTCTCTCTCTTTTTTTACACAGGGTTTGACAAGGTTAAGGATCCCTAGCTTTATTGACAAGCTATTTACAGGTTAAGGATTCCTAACTTTATTGGCAAGCTAAGAGCTGTTACCTACATCAGCTCATTTGAAAGCATTTTTATTGTTATGAGACATACAAGTAGGGAACAGGATGAAGTTGGAGCCGTCTGTGGGCCAGCATTTTCATTTGATCAACTGACTTTATCTCGTTGACATCATTATGCTGTACGAATGTGTTCCATACTCGAGTCATCCTGGGTATGTATGATCTCAGATGGAGTGATGTTCTGGAGAAGGGTACAGCCAGAGTGAAGGTGCTGTCTCTCTCTCTCTCTCTCTCTCTCTCTCTCTCTCTCTGTCTCTGTCTGTCTCTCTCTCTGTCTGTCTGTCTGTCTCTCTCTCTCTGTCTCTCTCTGTCTCTCTCTGTCTCTCTCTGTCTCTGTCTCTCTGTCTGTCTGTCTCTGTCTCTCTCTCTCTCTCTCTCTTTCTTTCTTCCCCCCCAACCCCATTAGTCCATTATATGGAAGATCTACTGGTTAAATATATTACTTTACTGTACGTACATACAAATCAATAGTTGATCAAAAAATAATTGAATAAAGTTGTATAAGAGCTTTTGTTAATTGTAATCTGAAGACGAGTTCAGGACTTTGTATTGTGAATGCATTTTTTTTTTTACACTGGTCATCTCTCACTGAGGTAGGGTGACCAAAAAAAAAAAGGAGGGGGGGGGGGGGACAAATTCACCATCACTTCAAATAGCTGTCTTGTCAAAAGTGTGCAGACATCACAATTCAAATACCCCTCCGGACTTAAACATCCCCACCCCTCCTTCAAAATGCAGGCACTGTATTTTCCACCTCAAGAACTCTTAGTCTGGCTAACTGATTTACCAGAAATCTTGTTTACTCTCTACAACATCAAGGAATGAAAACCACTCATTTCCATTCACTCTGATCAAAGATACTTGCTTGATGCTCAAGAACCTAGCACTTTCATAGACCCATCTATCAACATGTCTGCTTTCAAATATCTGAATACATTATCTTCCTCTGTACTCCTTTCCTCCAATCTGATACCCAGTCTTTCATTGCTTTAAAAAATTCCTCCACTAGCCTTTGCAGTGTCTCTTCAAAATCTCACAAAGAACTGTCACCAGCAAGGCCCTTGAGAAAGTCACTGATTATGCAAATGCCTTTTTGGCAAGCTAATAATAAGGCTTATTAACTACTTACATCTTCCATATCCTAACCTAAGCCTCACTTTCTGTATAAAAACTCGTTATTGTTTTTAGTAATTTACTACCTAATCCCTTTTTACATTTGCAACATCTGCCACATTGCTTGTATATCACATGAATTTTCTAAACCCATAAATGCAACAAATTGTGCTTTCCCTTTTATCTAAGTATTGTTGACTTGTATGCTTCAGTGTAAACACTTGGTCTATGCTTTCCCTATCCTTCCTAAATTATCCTTGTTCCTCTGCAATTATACTTTATACAATTTTTTTATTATCACTTTGTTCAAAACTTAACTAAATATTTGCTTCACACCTCTTCAAAATCTCTCTCCTCTACATTTCTCTCATCCCCAATTGCATCAACACTTAGGTAACTTACTTCTCACGTCCCATCTTTATTCTTGTCCACATAAATGTTAAATTTACACACTTGTATTCCCTCTTTATTTTCATAGTTGATAATTTAATGTTACTATTTACTATCACTACTTTGGCTCTAGTTCTTTCAGATATTCCTGATTTAACCCCATTTACTCTTCCAGTTGAAAGTATCCCACTGTTGTTAGCTTTTTTTGCTCATTGCTAGAACATCCAGCTCTTTTTCATTCATTGTTAACATTAATTCTTTCTTTTCATATGTACAATGCCCATTCACTTTAAAAATTTCTTTATCCTGTTTAGAAATTGATACAGAATGGGTTACTTGCTCCCAGCATTTTAGCCACCGTTTATGGCATGCATTGCTTATGAAGGAAGAATTCTACTCCACTTCCCCATAGTGTTGAAAGAAAACCCTAAAAGAGTAAGAACTATTAAGAAATTAGAAGGAAACTTGAATGTGTACATGTTCAGTTGCGTAAGTATTATATACTGTTATAAGTAGTTGAAGCTGTGTTTATAAACCAAGTCATTCTTCACCTGACTGTCATATGACCAAGTCTGGCCCGTAAGTGATATTCATTCAAAGCTGTATACTCGCCATTTATTGTTTATTTTATCCACCGATCTTTGAGAATGTGGTCAAATTATGTATTGGGGTACCATGTATTTTTTTGTGATATTGTTGCCAGGTCAAATAATGTGTATACATTTATTCCCTAATTTCAGAATTCTGGGGTACAGCAATGGCAAGTCCAACAGCTAGCACACCTACAAATGACTGTCCTCGTAGTGCTGCTCCAACGCCATCTCCACGCCCTCATGACCTCTCTTTCAGTAGCTTTGGCAAAGGTGGAGTCTCTAGAGGGATTTCTTCTACCAGTCTCTTGTCGCCACAAACTCCAGGAGGCTTGTGTGTTTCAGGAGGTTCACTTGGAAGTTCATTGGGAGGATCAATAGGGGGATCAACATCATCTCTAGCACCAATTCGACCAGCTCCTCCTATTCCACCCTCTGGTGATCGGTCATCACTTAATTTAAATTTAGCTCCACTTGAAGAGTTTTTAAAGGAACAACCAGCGTTTTTGTCATTCCGTTCCCAACCAGCTACTCCAGTTACTCAACTAAAGCCCAGTACACCTGGCACTAAGCCTACACCTCCACCTCGCTCCAGTCCACCTGGCACTCAGTGGTCTAACCAGATCAGTCCATCAGGGTCACAGAGGCCTTTGAATAAGCCAGCTCCTCCTGCTAGAGTTAGCCCACCAATAATGTCTGATGTGGGGACCCCCACAACTGAAAACGGAGAAATAATTCCTCGACCAGTCCAAGCCCCGCCACCACCACGCCGTTGGGCACGATCTTGCATAACCACGTCACCTTCAAATATCACTGTCAAAACAACATTGACACTCAATGTTAATCAGGTGAAGGCTCTACCAGTGCATTTAGATGATGTTCAAGTGCATGTAGCTAATATAGAAATCTCCCCAACTGGTAGTAACAGTTCTCAGTCAAATATGGCAGTTAATACTCCTAATGGAAATCAGAATGGTACTTTAAATGGTTACAGAGATGGTCTTCACTTACAAATTCAACAACAAATAACATCTCCTCAGAGTACACCATGTACACCTTGTGCACCAAGCACGCCTATAGAAGAGGCTCCTGGAATGTCACGAGTTCGTTTACGCAGTGGTAGAAGAGACAGACGAAGACTTTCCAACCATTATCACGAGGCAAATATTGTTGACAATAATGCAACTTACTGTCGGTCATCTCTGACTGATAAAATTAGTGACTATGAGGATGTGTGGCCTAGCTCTCCCCACGAATCACCAACCCCATCATCATCATCACAACCCAAAATGTTGACTTTCAAACCTCGCAATGAAATCTCAAAATCTATGGGAGACTTAAGTGAAATAGCAAAGAATACAAAACCAGTACACTTCATATATGATTCAGATAAAAAGAATGATGGAAGTTTATGCAATGATGAAAAGTTGAATGGTAACAGTTCAGACTCGGTAAACTCGTATCGTAAAAATTCAAGTCCTTTTTATATGGAACCAGCAGATGCATTAAAGGAGGAACAGCCACAGGCACGGATTAACAAAGCATCAAATAAATTATCAAGAAAAACGACAAACCGTTATTCTGACTCTAATATCCAGTGGAAAACTAGAAAGAGTCACAACTCCCTGGGTAAAATAGATTCAAATGAAGATCTACCATTATCATCAAGTGTTGAAAACCTAGTAAATGAAAAAGATAATCTTTTTATGAATTTGGAAGATGAAAAGAACAAGAATCTTGAAAGTGAAAAAAATAAAGTCAATGCTGGTCATTTAGTAAATGGCCAGTCAAGAAGTGATGCTAGGCGCCACTCACGAATTGGAGGAAGAGGAAAACCTATAGCTCCCCCTAGAATAAATAATGAAGCTTTGACATCCAATGGAGAACAAATGTCAGATACCACCTGTCATGTTGCATCATCATGGGAGTATCAATATGGTGTTGGGTCAGACAATGAAGATGCTCCATCTGGGGAAGGCAGATTTCCAGTGGGTGATACTGGAGGAGAATCAGATAGTGTGATAATTCCTGGCGATAGGACTGTACAAGATTTGATTTCTGAAAAACTTCCAGATTTGACATTGGATGCCCACTCCCTGGCACCAAGCTATGTTACACGCATTAGTGAATATGATAATGTTGGAGGGCAGGGTAGTGTTCGAGAAGATCAGCATCTCCAGTATCAGAGACAGCAACAGCAGCAGCATAAAACTCAACGTAACATTCCACTTGAAGAGCGCCTTCACCCACCTCTCCCTACACATTATTTTCCTTCCACTGTTAGTGACTCTGGCACCGAGTTTTCAGAACCTTGGGACTCTCGAAAATGGGAATCAATAATGCACTTTGAAGATGATTCATCAGTTGATCAGTATCCACGTAGCTCATTAGAAACTCCAGCTTTACGCCCCTATACTCTTGAAGATTCTGATACTGGTGGAGCAGGAGTTACAGACACAGATTCATTTGTGCATGTGATCGGGGATGCAAGTGATAATGAGACTGTTTCACTCTCTGGGACACCACCTTTGTCTCTTGTAAATGCGCACAACCTTGACACACAGCAGCGTACTAGAATTAGTAAGTATCTGGTATATTATTTTTTTTAAACCTTTGTTTAGAATTTTAAATGTGATGTACTTAAAGCATACACAGGGCATGTCAGTTAAGCTCAGGGTTGTATAGTCAGGAGAGTGCAGCCATTGCTGTGGGAAATTTTATAAGGTTCTGATGTACCGTGATATTGTTATGTACAAGGTTGAACAGTCACCCAGGATTGTATGTGACTGCTTTGCGATGTTTTGGCGAGCCATGAAATTGCTACAGTTATTGGAAGGGTTTGCTTTTTTCCCTACTGTGCATCATTAGAAAATGATGCAATAATATCTTTCAGTAATCTTTTTGAGGGGTTGTTTTGAGATAAAAATCATGTATGCAGACAATGCTTAATCTTTTGCTGTTCATGGTGTTTGTATAATGAGTAATATATATTTTTGCCTTTTTAAAATTTTTCAGTCATATTTTGTACATCAAAAATAATTAGCCTTTTGCTTGTATTCAATATATACAGTTTTCTTGTGTATAGCGGGGACTGTACACAAGGCTGTACGCTATAATGGTATGCTCACTTTTGTAGTTTACTATTATAGTGATGTAGGTCTATGTTTTGAGCTCAGGTTCCCCAGATAAGCTGTGAGCAGTAAATTTTGGCCAAGATATGAGAGAATGGGTCTGTGTGGTGAGTGTGCACAGGATAAAAAAAAATGCTTTTCCCCATCACACAGTGCATGATGGGGAAAGCAAAACTCTGACCTTTTGTTTGGTTTATGTAAGTGAATTTGAGCTGTTTTCTAGGATGGTCTCTGCATTTTTTTTTGTAGCATGTGCTAGAATGGAAGATACACTACTGAAGTAGAAATGATTTTGTTTGGTTTTAGGAATGTAAGTAACTTGAAATTGAGACCTAATTAGTGGTAATATTCGATTTTTGCTGTTTTTCCTGAGGACAGGTATTGCTCTTCTACACCCCACCCCTCAACCTCCTGTTTTTATGGGTTTTTATTAGATTGGATTCAATTATAGGTTGGCCATCACTAATCCGGCAATCGGTTATCTGGTTCCATCAGTAATCCGGCACTAATTTCGGCTAGCATAATTTCAAATCTCATCATTATACTGACTCAGAAATTGTGCAGATGGTTGTAAATTTACAGCAGCAAGCCAGTGGAGGAGAAAGCAGTGATGAAAATGAGGAAGATGTAGCAGAAAGAGTCTCTATTGATAGATTAACTAACCCTTTCAGGGTCCAGAGGCCAAATTTTTGGTGTGTGCCAGGGTCCAAGAATTTAAAAAAAAAATTGTTATTTTTTTCTTATGAAATGGTAGAGAATCTTTTTTCTGAAGGTAATAAAGCAAACAGTACAAAATTTGATGGAAAATTGACAAAATTATGCTCTCACGAATTTTGAGGTGCCAGCAATATTTCCGCATTGGCAGTTTTGCTGACTTTGACTCCCATTTTAGGTCAATTTCATTACTGCTGTTGACCAAATTCTTAGCTTTTCACTAGTATTACTTCTGTTCTATCAATTGAGCACAAGAAATCACCCAGACAGCTGTTTCAACTACAAATTTGGCCAATTTAATGCAAAGTTTAAAATATTCCAATTACAAAATAGGATCCAGAATAAACAATGCAGGCATTCCTGACACTAAACTAACATTTCCTCTGTTCATTAGTTACGTTTTCAGGCTTTATAAATGAATTCCATTTTGATTTTTTATTTGCATAATAAATTTTTATTCAAACCAAAAATGGAAGATTTACTGTTATGCAATATTGTAATACTAATTGTATAAATAATATCACCACATTTGTGAACATACATTAGACCTACCAGCTGGCACGTATTAGACGTGTGAGGTCATTTGTTTACTCTTGAACATCAGCGAAAATTTAACATTTCTGCTAATTTGAGCTCGGTTTCAAGCCATTTCCAGCACTAAAACCAATAAAAATCATCTCTATTTCTGTAATATATCTTTCATTCTGTTAAATGAGACCAAGAAATTGCAAATACAACTATAAAAAACATTCGAAAAACACTGCAAAGTCGCTGCTTTAATTGAAAATTACTCTGTTTTTTCTCTCATTAAGCACTGTATGCTGCAGGATTTGTTTTACGTGGTGCACAATTACCACATAGGTGTATTCTCTCATATCTAGGCTCAAATTTACCGCTCAGCTTATGTGAGCGAGCTGAGCTCATGGCGTAGAACTACAGTTTGGACCCTCGACTCAAAGCCGTAGAACTATAGCATAGACCCTGAAAGGGCTAAGTGTATTCTAACCTAATCACTCTGTAATCCGACAAACTCGATAATCCAGCACACTACAGGTCCCAATGATGTCGGATTAGTGATGGCTGACCTGTAGTGGGATGCCATAACTCATGATCAGTAATTCTTGGTTGTATTTTATTATCTGAGAAATATGGTAACTTCAATTTTTTTTATAAATACAGAATGAAAGACACGTGTAATAAGAGATGTCTGGGGTTGTGATTAATGAACAGAGGAAATATTGTTTTAGTGCCTGGAGTGTGTACAGTGTTTATTTTGGACTTTTTAAATTACAAATTTTTTAATTTTGTGAAAATTGGCCCCTGACTTCTGTGCACTTTATATGTAGTTTTGATAGTTGAATTCATGGTTTCTTGTGTTCAGTCAGTAGAGCAGAAGGCATACTAGTGAAATAGCTAAGAATTGGTTGAACTGAGCAATGGAATTTGCTTAAAATAGGCCTCAAAGTGGACAAAGTTGCTGATGCGTAAATTGCGCCTGCATAAATTTTCCATCAAATTTCATACTTCTGGCATCATTACTTTCAGAAAAAAGATGCTCACATTTTAGAAGACTTTTTGTTTTAAATGCCAGCACTGTGAGCACTTTTAATTTCATGGCTACTGACAGTGAAGGTGTTAAATACACCAATTTATTTTCTATCCTCTCATGAGCTTTTGAAAAACAGACAGTTTTATTCCCTTGTAACTTTCATTTCTCCTGATGACACATTTGTTTTTATTTGAAAGAGCAATTTTTTTTTATTTTGCAATATTAAGTACAATACTGTATACTGCTTTATATATTTCCATAGCAAACCTTATAATATTCAATTATATATATGTACCTGTTAAGTCAGTTTTGCATAAATAGCACATTATGTTTAATTTCACATTTCATTTTTTCCTATCTTATTCCTGTATTGCTGAACAAAGCCTTATAATTAATTTTTTTTTTGAACACACCGGCCGTATCCCACCGAAGCGGGGTGGCCCAAAAGAAAAAAACGAAAGTTTCTCCTTTTACATTTAGTAATATACAGTGGACCCTCGACCAGCGATGGCATCGATTAACGATAAATCTGACTAGCGATACATTTTATCGCAAAAATTTTGCCTCGATTAGCGCTAAAAAACTCGACCAACACTATTCCTTCCGTCTGAGACGTGTCCACTTCTGGCCAGTGTTTACAAGCCAGCCAGCCACAGCGGTCGCTTCCAAGCATACAATCGGAACATTTCATATTATCACAGCCTTTTTAGTGATTGCACCTGCAAAATAAGTCACCATGGGCCCCAAGAAAGCTTCTAGTGCCAACCCTACAGCAAAAAGGGTGAGAATTACTATGGATATGAAGAAAGAGATCATTGCTAAGTATGAAAGTGGAGTGCATGTCTCCGAGCTGGCCAGGCTGTACACAAAACCCCAATCAACCATCGCTACTATTGTGGCCAAGAAAACGGCAATCAAGGAAGCTGTTCTTGCCAAAGGTGCAACTATGTTTTCGAAACTGAGATCGCAAGTGATAGAAGATGTTGAGAGACTGTTATTGGTATGGATAAACGAAAAACAGATAGCAGGAGATAGCATCTCTCAAGCGATCATATGTGAAAAGGCTAGGAAGTTGCATGACGATTTAATTAGAAAAATGCCAGCAACTAGTGGTGATGTGAGTGAATTTAAGGCCAGCAAAGGTTGGTTTGAGAGATTTAAGAATCGTAGTGGCATACATAGTGTGATAACGCATGGTGAGGCTGCCAGTTTGGACCAAAAAGCAGCTGAAAAATATGTGCAGGAATTCAAGGACTACATAGACAGTGAAGGACTGAAACCTGAACAAGTGTTTAATGGTGACACTGACAATGTTGTGAAACACGTTAGGAATGTCATAAAGGAACGGGAGGTACAGGCCTCTATGGGCAGATATGTTGTGCGACAGAGGTCCAGTGACTCTCAAGCTGGTCCTAGTGGCATTAAAAGAAGGGAAGTAACCCCGAAAAAGGACTTGCCACCTCAAGTCCTAATGGAAGGGGATTCCCCTTCTAAACACTAAGACCATCAACACACTCCCCTCTTCCCATCCCATCAGTCATCACCAGATCTTCAATAAAGGTAAGTGTCATGTAACTGTGCATTTCTTCTTCAGTTTGTGTGTATTAAAATTAATATTTCATGTGTTAAAATTTTTTTTTTCAATACTTTTGGGTGTCTTGCACGGATTAATTTGATTTCCATTATTTCTTATGGGAAAAATTAACTTGACTAACGATTATTTTGACTAACGATGAGCTCTCAGGAACGGATTAACAGCATTAGTTGAGGGTCCACTGTATACAGGAGAAGGGGTTACTAGCCCCTTGCTCCTGGCATTTTAGTCGCCTCTTACAACATGCATGGCTTATGGAGGAAGAATTCTGTTCCACTTCCCCATGGAGGTAAGAGGAAATAAACAAGAACAAGAACTAGTAAGAAAATAGAAGAAAACCTAGCAGGGTGTGTATATATATGCTTGTACATGTATGTGTAGTGTGACCTAAGTGTAAGTAGAAGTAGCAAGACGTACCTGAAACCTTGCGTGTTTGTGAGACAGAAAAATGGACACCAGCAATCCTACCATCATGTAAAACAATTACAGGCTTTCATTTTACACTCACTTGGCAGGACGGTAGTACCTCCCTGGGTGGTTGCTGTCTACCAACCTACTACCTAGGTTATATTTAATTACCACTAGATAAATGTAATTCTGAGGGTAGGATTGCTGGTGTCTTTTTTTCTGTCTCATAAACGTGCAAGATTTCAGGTACGTCTTGCTACTTCTACTTACACTTAGATCACACTACACATACAAGTACAAGCATATAGTATATACACACACCCCTCTGGGTTTTCTTCTATTTTCTTTCTAGTTCTTGTTCTTGTTTATTTCCTCTTACCTCCATGGGGAAGTGGAACAGAATTCTTCCTCCGTAAGCCATACGTGTTGTAAGAGGCGACTAAAATGCCGGGAGCAAGGGGCTAGTAACCCCTTCTCCTGTATATATTACTAAATTTAAAAGGAGAAACTTTTGTTTTTCCTTTTGGGCCACCCCACCTCAGTGGGATATAGCTGGTACGATGAAAGAAGAGAGAAATGTAATTCTGTCACTTAATAGAACTAATATAAAAACAATATAATTATTTTTATTCTAGGTTACAATAAGAATATAACAAATACATGTACTGTACCTCAGATTCCAAAAGTTTCAGCAATTGTAGTATCTGAAGTTAACACAAAACTCAAATTTTTCAGTGTCACCCCAGTTATTGGCCCTACGGCAGCGTCAGGATGCAGAGAACGGTGTTGCAATTAAAGTATATGCTATGGACTTGGGGGGTGACACATCCACGACATTTAGTCAGGCTGTCACCAATTTTATTACCTGCACTCTAGAGAGCCCTGAACGAGATCCTGCTGTTGTTACTCGTAATGTACGTCAGTTTATGTCTGGGATGAAGAATTACTTGGTTACAAGTGGTGAGAAGGAATTTGAAGCAATAGTAAAGAGACAACGAAGTAATGTAAGTATTTGTGAATTTATGTATATTCTGTAGGTAAATATAGTTTACAATGCCTGCACTTTAAAGGAGGGGTTTGGGATATTGGCAGTTTGGAGGGATATGTTGTGTATCTTTATGTGTGTATGCTTCTAGACTGTTGTATTCTGAGCACCTCTGCAAAAACAGTGATAATGTGCGAGTGTGGTGAAAGTGTTGAATGATGAAAGTATTTTCTTTTTGGGGATTTTCTTTCTTTTTTTGGGTCACCCTGCCTTGGTGGGAGACGGCCGACTTGTTGAAAAAAAAAAAAAAAAAATATAGTTTACTGATTAATCAGAATAGGGAATTATTAGAGCAGTTTTAGTTGAGGATGATTTTGTAAAGATTATAAGTTTTTTGATACAGTATGGCTTAAATAGTAGTTACTCATACCATTGGTAATAGATTCCTTAGAGATACTTAAATTAGATTTTTGGAGGTTATACCCAAATTTTCAATAAATTTTGACAAAGCAAAACAGTGCATACATACTAATTATGACATTAATATGCACACAAATATTCCATAAATTTAAACAATCTACACTTACATAATGTAATTAAAAGCTTTAACCAGTATCTTAAAATGTTGTTATATACCTAGCAAAAATGTGCACTATTGAATGTAGTCAGCCAGCTGGGATTTATTCGCTTGATATCCCAAATAGCCAGTGTCGTCATGTTAACTTGCTTAGCACACATTTTAAGGTGACTGGGGGAATTCTTGAGTGTCAGATAGAAAAACTTGATTGATGAATGTTTTGTAAAACTGAATATAACTGCTAAGGATGTAAAATGTTTTATATGGTGCATGCAAATTACAAAGAAAGGAAGGTAAGATTCTGACTGAAAATAGCACTTGTGGTACATAGTTTTTGTTATAATTTGAGCATTTTGAGCACATAATGTAAGTAAAGGGTAGACATAGCTTTTATATTTGGTAGATGGCAACTATCTACAGAGGTACTGCCCTCCTTCTCTTTGTGAAACAGAATCTCATTAAATGGCTAGCACTGCCATAATTGCCGTAAGATGACTGATATAATTGCATGTAAGATGACTGGTAAACCTTACAAATATCTACTTGCGTTCAGTGTTCACTTTGCTTTATTTTCCTGTGTTTATTATGTAGCTGCAACTTATTTATGCAATATTTTCTTTTCATGTTAGATATGGTCTGAGACTAGGCTGTGGGGTTCATGCTCCATGGAATCATAGATATATATATATATGTCAGTAGATTTCTACATGTAGATTGGTAAATTTTTCCGGTCACTGCTTAAAACCCGTACAGTTGTATTGTAAAATGCAACAGACTGTGACTGGGAATACAAAATTGGAGCTATCCTTTCCTTCCTTGGATCATATCTGATTCTCTCTCATTCCTCAGCATTGCATGGTCCAGATGGGTTTAGCACTTACCCGTGAATGTATAATAATTCTAGGATATTAAAAAAAATTGTTAACTTGAACCCTGTTTACTTTTGTATTCATTTTTTTTTGACTTGCAAGAGGTCACAACTTGCTTTTCCACACACAGGGCACTACAGATAGAAAGTAGATTAATTATCCTGGAGACTATAATAAACATATAGAGCAGTCTACATGCTGAAATCACCATATAAAAATAAGTGTTCAAATATTTAGGTATAGTAACTGGGTTATTAAGATGAGTGTAACTCTTATTTCTAGTTTGCAACAGTTTTAAAACATGCATGTTCTTATGATTCTGTAATGAATTAGGAAAAGTTTTTATAGTGTTCTAATACTGCTTACTGTTTTCTCTGACAGCTGAAGGCAACAGAGTTTCTTAATCTGGATGCTATCTTGGAAGATGTTCTGGTCCGACTTGTGGTTCGCCCTCTTTGGAATCACATCAACAAACTTTTTGTGGAATCATATTCAGCCAATGGCTCAATCCAATTGTTGGCTGCAAATATGAAATATGCAAAATCGCAGCCAAAGAACCGTCTTGGTATAAGGGTAAGTGGGTTAGAAACATTGTATTTGATGGTACATGCTACTAAATATAATTATTTACAACAATATGATAAATCTAAGGTAGTAGGTTGGTAGACAGCAACCGCCCAGGGGGGTACTACCGTCCTACCAAGAGAGTGTAAAACAGAAGCCTGTAATTGTTTTACATGATGGTAGGATTGCTGGGGTCTTTTTTTGTCTCATAAACATGCAAGGTTTCAGGTACATCTTGCTACTTCTACTTACACTTACGTCACACTACACATGCATGTGCAAGCGTATACATGTATATACACCCCTCTGGGTTTTCTTTTATTTTCTTACTAGTTCTTGTTCTTATTTATTTCCTCTTACCTCCATGTGAAAGTGAAACGGAATTCTTCCTCCGTAAACCACGTGAGTCGTAAGAGGCGACTAAAATGCTGGGAACAAGGGGCTAGTAACCTCCTCTCCTGTATATATTACTAAATATAAAAGGAGAAACTTTCGTTTTTTCTTTTGGGCCACCCTGCCTTGGTGGGATATGGCCGGTTTGTTGAAAAAAAAAATATATACAATGGACCCCCGGTTCACGTCATTAATCCGTTCCTGAGAGCTCATCGTAAAGCAAAATTATCGGAAAGTGAATCAATTTTCCCCATAAGAAATAATGGAAATCAAATTAATCCGTGCAAGACACCCAAAAGTATGAAAAAAAAAAACTTTTACCACATGAAATATTAAGTTTAATGCAATAGAATAATTTCAGTAGCAATAATAAAAATAGAATAAACACAATAGAATAATTGACACTTACCTTTAATGAAGATCTGGTGATGATTGATGGGATGGGAGGAGGGGAGAGTGTCGAAGTTTTTAATGTTTAGAAGGGGAATCCCCCTCCATTAGGACTGTTCAGGTTTCGATCCTTCAGCCTCTATGTACTCCTTGAATTCATGCACATATTTTTCAGCCGCTTTCTGGTCTGAACTGGCAGTCTCACCATGCCTAATCACACTATGTATGCCACTACGATTCTTAAATCTTTCAAACCAACCTTTGCTGGCCTTAAATTCACTCACATCACCACTAGTTGCAGGCATTTTTCTAATTAAATCCTCATGCAACTGCCTAGCCTTTTCACAAATGATCGCTTGAGAGATGCTATCTCTAGCTATCTGTTTTTCATTTATCCACACCAGTAACAGTCTCTCAACATTTTCTAACACTTGCGATCGCTGTTTTGTAATCACAGTTGCACCTTTTGCAAGAACAGCTTCCTTGATTGCCGTTTTCCTGCTCACTATAGTAGAGATGGTTGATTGGGATTTACTATACAACTTGGCCAGGTCCGATACACGCACTCCACTTTCATGCTTTACAATTATCTCTTTCTTCATTTCAGTAGTCATTAGCACCCTTGGTCTTGAAGGGTTGGCACTAGAAGCTTTCTTGGGGCCCAAGGTGACTTATTTTGCAGAAACAAGCAACAGAAACAGTGATAATATGGATAATATGGAATGTACCGAATGTATCCTTAGATGCGCGCACACTGGCTGGCTTGTAAACACTGGCACACACGGGGCAGTTCAGGCCACATGTGGACACGTCTCGTACGAATCGTATCGCGTACCGGGTTTTGTTATGGGAACTGGGGCAATTTTTTGGCTATATAACGCTTCGGATACCGGATTTATCGGTTACCGGTGACTTCGCGAACCGGGGGTCCACTGTATATATACACACACATACTATATACATACATACTGTATATATACATACATACATACATATACACACACATACATATATACATATACACACACATACATACATATACACACATACATACATATACACACACATACATACATACACACATTTACACACACCCCTCTGGGTTTTCTTCTATTTTTCTTACTAGTTCTTATCCTTGTTTATTTCCTCTTATCTCCATGGGGAAGTGGAACAGAATTCTTCCTTCGTAAGCCATGCATATCGTAAGAGGCGACTAAAATGCCGGAAGTCAGAGGCTAGTAGTCCCTTCTCCTGTATATATTACTAAAGTTAAAAAGAGAAACTTTCGTTTTTCTTTTTGGGCCACTCTGCCTCAGTGGGATATGGCCAGTTTGTTGAAAGAAGAAAAAATGGCTTTTTTTTTATTCGTGAGAACTTGTTTCCAGTTTCAGAGAATATGTAGTATATTTGTTCTTATACTGATTATAGGCATCCTTGTCCTTTTAAGATCCAGTTCTAAGATAATACATATTGTATAAACTCTTATCTATCTATATTGAAGACATAAATGTAGAAGTGCCTTTAAGGTTAAATTTTTATTACATAATGTACTAGTATACTATTGTTATTCATTTTTTCATTCATATGAAAATTAATCCTTAAAATGTTCACCCCTCAAATTGAAAGCCCACTTTCTTAGTCCACAAGTTTAAACAACCCCCCCCCCCCCCCCCAAAAAAAAAAAAAAAAAAAAAAAAACTACCAAAAACTACAAATTAGATTTAATACTTTTGAAATTATATAAACAAAGGTTGGTATTTGGGAGCACTTTATGCTCATTTCCTGGCTGTTTCTCTAGTATGCCTTCCATGCTACCCATTGATAACTAGGAAGTGACAGACTTTGGTAATTTGGCAAATTCACTTATGTCCCCAGGCCTCCTGTGTAATAATTCTTTCCCCCCAAATTTGACGATTTTCCCTATTTCTCAACTGATAAGCTTGGACATGGTTTAGGTCATATAGGAGGGTAGGGGCACCCCTTACCCTTCCCTTTCCTTCCCAGGAAAGTTGCCCCAAATCAGCAGTTTCTGCAGTTTTGACACCTATTTCAGGTCACCTCTGGTCCTAACCCTACCAAAATCTTCTCAATTTCACTAGTATCTTCTGTTCTGCCAATTAGCACTAAGAAACAGCCAATAAAACCATGAAAACCACCTTAAAAAATGTGCCAAAGTCACTGTTATGACCCAAATGCAGGGTCAGAAATTAGCTGTTCCAATCATGCTGAAAGCAAGTTATGCATCATGGATTTTCAGTTTTCTGACAAACAAAACAAAGTAGTAGTAAAGAGAAATTATTAAAATATAAAGCTCAGTATCCCAAGGCTCATTCCTGGCACCTTTACCATTTCTTGGCATCCTGTTGGATATAGATAAAAACCCCGACACGAATGACTTATACCGAGTTCAGTGACTTTCACCGAGCCAATATTTTGATGAAAAAACGTTACTTATTCCGATGATGACTTAATCCGGGGGTCCACTGCAATGGGAGAATGTGTAAAATAAATCCATTGAAAAACGGGCACCATGGGTACAATAAGTGAACATTGTATCAACATCAGTGGGTCCAGAATGTTTATATAAACATTACCGAAACAAGTGTAGATGTTCTCAAGTGCCAGATCAATTGGGCTGTGATGGATATGCATGAGCAAGTGGACAGCCAGCACTAATTAATAGCCTGGTTGATCAGGCAACCACCAGACCAGCCTGGCTGTGAGAATATGAAAACTCAAAAGCTTTCAAAGGTATATCAAAGGATGCTGATCATTATAGCATAATAAAAAGTGATGGACAGTTTGAGGGTTGATCTAGGCTCTTCATTCAAAAAATTTCTTCAATGCAGCACATTTTTATTAATGTTTTACACAGGTCCTCTTTACTTGACCCCAGAATTTATGATAACGGTTATTAACATTTAAAATTGTGTTTCTTCCTTTTGCAGTCAGAGTTGTCACCACCAAGTGGACATAATCTAGAAGTTATACGCAGTCTTTTAACACGTATGCAGAAACTGTTTGCCCCACGAGAGAAATTAGAACTCCTCTTGGATACCATCTCACACATATACAGAGCCGTATGTGTTACTTTATCATTTAACTAATTTAATATCATTACAAATATATTGCTGATTGTACCTTTTAGGATATTTATTTCATGTACAGTAATTTGCATTACTGTACCTATAAATATAGTTTGTAAATGTGATATTGATCATTTACTTTTTAAAAATGCACTGTATTTTACTCAAATATTTTATCCAAACTCTTACTAAGCTTAATTTAAAAAAAAAAAAAAGAAAAAAAAAAAGAAAGAATAATTCACATATAAGAATAGTACTTACTTGGTTGGTATATAGCAACTGCACAGGGAGGCACCACCATCCTGCCATACACGTATGAAACCTGTTAATTGTTTCACACTGGTAAGATTGGTGTCTCTTCTTTGTCTCATGGATAAGAGAGAGGTGAAAGTTAATTAACTAAAGGAAGAGACAGGAAGATATAAGCCACTATTAGGAGAAAAATGAAGTAAATCACAGAAGGGGTGGAACTTGAACCTATGGCAAGACAGTCTTAAAACTTCCAGGCCAGTTTTAGGATTGTCTTGATTTGTTTGTAATCGTGTTCTTAACTCACTAGAGAGGTGGACTAGAGAGGGTACAGGTAATGAAGTCAGAGATATTGTATAGATTTAAGAATGTAGTGGTAGTATGCAGCTGAAGTTTGTGGGTATAGGAGGGTGGGTTGATGAATAAGAAACATGTTTATCATTATTGGTTATCATTATTGCCAATTTTTTTGTTTTTTCTTTTTTTGCCTGCACAAAAGACTTTTTCAGTCAAGTACAGGAGAACACTGGAGACAGTAGTAGTAGTAGTAGTAGTTTTGGTGTAATCAGGCCCTAATACCAAAAGCATAGACATGCAGCCAGAAGATAGGTGATTGACTTGCAATGACATCACTGGTGAGTGCAGCCCACTAGAGGAAGTAGGTCATACCAAACAGTTGTTTAGCAAAGGAGTTGCAGATTTTCCCTGTTTGAAAATGTCATGGTGCTGCTGTCTCAGACAAGTATCATATTATTGATGGTATAAAACAAGAAATTAAAACATATGCAATACTTAGGTATCTATTACTGAACTGTTTTTTGTTGCACAGCAGGCTTTTTCAGTCAGATATACAGGAACACTGAAGATGGTAGGTTGGCAGACCAATCATTTCAAAACTACTCCAGTACTACTATCTCAAGTGTCCTCCTGTATTTGACTGAAGAAGCCCGTTGTGCAGGCAAAACATTTCAACAATAAAGATACCCAAGTGTTGCATGGCTTATTTATCAACTTGTTGGTATTGTATGCAAGTAATATGATAGGAGGGGAGGGTGGATGTGGATGGGAAGAGGAATGATTGATGATATGATAAATTTAGGTAGTAAGGGAGAAAAAGTTAGCATATGAGAGATTTTCACGAAGTAGAAAAGGCACAGTAGAAAGGCACAGTATACAGTGGTACCTTGAGTTTCGAACAACTCCCAACTCAAACAATTATGTAAGTGTATTTTTGTAAGTGCTTTTGTAAGTGTATTTTTGGGGGTCTGAAATGGACTTGTGGGAACAAATTCATTCGGTATTGGCACTCGAACAACCTTCTGGAACAAATTAAGTTCACAACTCGAGGTACCACTGTATAGAGAAAAATGAGGTTGAGTAGTGAAGGAGTGCAAAAGGAGAACCCATGGAAACAAGGGGTGAAACTTTGTCTGCAAATTTTGCTGAGATTAAGCTAGTTTGGGAGGGAGAAAGCCTGAGTAGGAAATGGACCTAGCAGTTAAAAACAAGAGGGAAAATGCAGGGAATATTCAAAATATTCTGTTGAATGTTGATAATGAGGAAGGCAATAATTTCATGTGTGAAAAAATGCATGAGACATTGGGTAGAATGAGAGGGGATGCAGTAGCTGGGACAGAAGGGTTTAAGGCAGATGTTAAAAGCAGGTGGGGATATTTGTGTTGGAGTGATTGGTATATTTGTTCAGTATATGTATGAAAAGTGAGGATACCTAAGGATTGTCATTGGATGCATAGTTCCTTTGCATAAAGGAAAATGACCAAGAGAGTGTAAGAATTATAAGGGAACAAGCATGTGAAGGGTGGTGGACTAATTTGGGAGGGTACGTAATAAAAAAAAGGAAATTAAAAGTGAACATGGGAAAGAGAAAGGTAAAAGAGTAACAAAAAATTTAGGTAATGAAAAATTGGATTTCAGATTGGAAAGAGGGATTATAGAGGAAGTGAATGTGTTCAGATATTTGGGAGTGGACTTGTTGGCTAATGGATCTATGAACCACATAATTGACAAGGGAAAAAGGTGAGTGGTCATTGAGGTATCTGTGGAGACAAAGAACATATACCAACACTTGTATAGGTGTGAAGTATGGGTTTTAAATGTTGCAGTGCAGAAGTGGCGGGGGGCAGAGAGAGATGTGCTTTAGAGCAATGTGTGGTGTGAATATATGCAGAGGAGGAGGAGGTACAGTGTTACTAAAATATTATCCAGAGGGCTGATGTAGGGTTATTGAGGTGGTTGAGGAAAGGTTGGAGGGAGGTGGGGTAAAGGAAGTTTTGAATACAAGGTGCTTGGACATCTAACAGGCATGTGTAAGTGTGTTAGATAATAGTGGAGGTAAGTGGTGTATATGACTAATGTGCTGTAGTAGTATGAGCAAGGTAACATGAAGGGATTCAGGGAAACCGGTTAGCTGGAATTCGAGTTCAGGAAGTAGGAAGTACAGTGCCTGCACTGTAGGAGTTGTAATGTCATCGCATCTCTGGCAAGACGGTGATAGTTAGTGATGGTGAAAGTGTTTCTTCTTTTTCAGGTTCCCCTAACTCAGTGGGAGACAATCAGTATAAAAAAAAGTTAAATTTGGAAGAATTATTATTGAAAGAGTTGAAAAGATAAGACAGAATAGGATTGCAGAGGTGAACAAGGAGGATTTAGGAAGGATAGATGTGTAGATAGATGTGGCAGTTTGGAGGGATATGTTGTGTATCTTTATATGTATATACTTCTAAACTGTTGTATTCTGAGTACCTCTGCAAAAACAGTGATTATGTGTGAGTGAGATGAAAGTGTTGAATGATGATGAAAGTATTTTCTTTTTGGGGATTTTTTCTTTCCTTTTGGGCCACCCTGCTTCGGTGGGATACAGCCAGTTTGTTGAAAGATGATGGATAGACAAAAGGTTTACATTGAATCATATAGGTGAACAATCATATTACCTTACTAGAAAGCAATATAAGTTTGAATGTGTTAGTATATTTACTAGTAATTGTAATACACTTTATAAAAACTAGAAAGCTAGATCAGAACACTTGGTTCTTTCGTTGTAGATAAGTGAACATTTCTTTAATCATATTTCTGGTGTACCTTACTAGAAAGCAATATAAGTTTGAATGTGTTTCAGTATATACTGCTAATTTTAATGTGTTTTATAAAAATTAGAAAGAAAGTTCAGAACACTTGGTTTGCTCATTGTAGATGTATGAGAATGGTGACACTTCTGGCTCGGGCGATGCAGATGACCTTGTTCCAATGATTATGTGGGTATTGAGTCAGTCAGGCATGGTGTCTGCAGAGGTGGAAGCAGACTACATGTGGGGTTTGCTTCTCCCAAGTGCCTCTTCTGGTGAAGCCTCTTACTACCTTGAAGCTTTTCATTCTGCTATTCATGCCCTCAAGAATCTCTCTCCATCACCAGAGTCTTCACCAGGAAACAGTCTCGATTCAGTTAGACAGGTAATGTTTGATACTGAAATAATCAGAATATTTGAGTACTTTTCATTTCCCAAAATATGCTCTATTATTTAGAATGTATCCAGATTTTAGAAAATTATTAATTTTAAGGCTGCACTTATGGGTTTAGTGCTTATTTCTGATTGTAATAATAATAATATTAATTTTAAGAATTAAATAATTTGCTCTGACATAAATTCAGTTAAAAAAATTAGATAATTTCTTGTATTTTGATCTTAACTGGGTATATTACTTATATGTATGGTATGATACTAGTTAAAGGTCTAGTGCTTATTAGTATCATTCACAGTATAATAGCAGTGCTGAAATAGTCAAAAGGATTCATGCTGCCAGCTTCCATCTTTCCACTACATCAACCAGATTAGTGATATATTAGATATGGTACCTGAAACACAAAATGAAACCAAAGCTGAAAAATTTATGCAAACTTAATTTTGTATTTCTCGTGATTTCTACTTTTGTTGAACCTCTTAATATAACTAGGTGCTAAACCCTCAAGGGTCATGCAACATAAGCACTCCTAACAGTCTAATAATTTGTACTTCAGTGTCAGCAGCATTAACACACACCATAACAGTTAATATTTCCTTTTATTATTTTGTGGCAGCCAGTGTTTTCGCATGACGGCAAAAAGATTTTAGTTTCTCCCCCACATAATCTCGTCTTATCAGCATAGTAAACTCTTTTTTTCTTTCTCGACGAACCAGCCATATCCAATTGAGGCGGTGACCTAAAAAGAAAAACGAGGAAGAATTCTTTTCCACTTCCCTATGGAGTTCAAAATAATTCTGTGCTGATTTGACCTAAGATCTTTTTTCTTTTCTTAACTCTTTGAAGCCACTCATGAGTGCATTCATTTTTGACTTCTACATTCATTTCATTGTTGAAATGCTTTGGCTTTGTCCAGACCTTGGACCCATTATGTACCTCTGTAATCCTTTGATTATGGCCCACAGGATGGATATGGGGTACATAAAGCTATTAAACTAAAAAAAAAAAACTCATTAAAAATCGACCAGAGACAGGAACATCACTGACGCTCGTTACATTTAACACATATTTGATATCTTGACTAGCAGACCCATGTCCTTTTTTACAATTTACAATGGTCTTGGGAATCAGTGCTAGGATAATAGTCCATTACTTCTTTGTCATGTACTATTGGTTGTATATTATCGTATTCTATTGCCCACTTTCTTGATTAATTCCACTGGTTTTTTTTCTCGAGGGTAAGATAATTTTTATTTCTCTAGCCTTTGTTCACTATTTTCTGGGTTTGGAGGCTTTTTCTTGGTCTTATCACTCTTATTAGTTACTGGTTGTATTTTATGATCCTGGGAAGAGTGAGTGGTGAACTGTGGCAGAAATACAGATAAACTCGATTCAAAAAGTTAAAACTTTGATTTCCGTTTCTTAATTTAGTGTGAATTTGTCCAGAAGTAGAGAATAATATAATCAAATTAAATTCTAAACCTGAGAGGGTCACACAGCACTGCTGGGAAGGATGTGTGAAAGGTGGAATGTGCAAAGGTGATGAGGGAATGAAGGGCAGGAAGTGTGTGAGGGCAGGGGTTTGTAGGGATACAAGAGGAAAAGTAAAATCACAGTTAGTGCAGAAAGTTATTGCTAAAAAGTTAGTCTGCATCAAAGGTGGAACTGTCAGCAAGGTCAGTGAGTTAGTGTGTTGGGCAACAGAGATGACGGAAGTGAATTCTTCATGCCTGCTGATAAGATACGTTGAACTAACAATGCAATCCGATGGTCCTCACAGAGAAATACTGGGCATTCTTCAACAAGATAACGGTTGGTTGCAGAATTATCAAGAGATTACTGAAAAATAAACCGAGTGAGGAATACCCTTGTGGAGAAATTGGGAGGTCATGAACAGTTGATTGAGCAGCTGAGTCTGCTTGTTCATTACCCTGAACATTGACGTGGTCAAAGACCTGGAAGAAGCTAACATCTTTGCGTTTACAAGAAATGCGGCATAACCAGAGTTAAATGCAAAATAAGAAAATCCTCTTAACTAATCCCCATGATTCAGTGGGACCCTTTCCTAGAGGAAATGAAGAGCATTAAAATCACCTAATAACAAGATGGGCGGAAGTAAGGAAAAAATCAGATAATGGATATCAGGTATAGATGATGGGTGAGAAGGGAAAAGATACAAAGAGCAGACTACATGTTATGTGCCCAAATATAAATGGCTTGCAATGTGAAGAAGATAAGTACAAGCAAAAAGCCAAGAGTAAGGAGTATCACTGCACATATTAAATGTGTGCAATGTATTATTGGGAAAAGAATGAAGCAATTGCTATTAAATAGCCAGAGTTTAGCACTTAGTTTTGATTATTATAATATTAGATAGCCAGAGATGGGGAAAGTCAACAGTGGGATGTGATTTCAAATCTTTTTTTATTTTGATACAAAGGGATACTTGGGAGAAAAAGACTAGGAGCTCTTGTCAGTTTCCCTTGTATTTTCTGATATTCCACTGTAATAAAGCCATTATCAGAAAGTAGCACAGTGACAGCAGAAAACAGGCAGTTCGTAGGGAATGGGGTGGTCAGTAATGTTAATATGTGGTAGCAATGGGAAGGTAGAAATAAGCAATGTGTAGGGGGTTGCAGGGGGTGAGAATGAAGGTAAAGTAGGGTGGGTGTCCATTTCAACTTTTGTATCAAACACCAATGTGTCCTTAAGAGTTTCTGAAGACAAGGGCATAGCAGGAAACATGAGTAGGAAAAGGCAAATAAAGCAGAGGGTGAAGGAGACATTGGTAATTGTCAAAATTGTAGGAAACAGAGTAGAGATGTCATCAGAGGAAGGAATCTGGTTAGTCAGTGAGGAAAAGGAGCCTTAAGTAGGGATGGATGGATATCCCTAAGTAGAAGAGATCCTCTCAACTGAAGCAAAGGTTGCTGGAAGGTTACCTAGTTCAGGAAAAAATAAAATTCAGTGTGGTAGATCTCTCTGCTTTTATTTTCAAGAATTTCCATCACTGGGCCCAGGTTTTGTAGGTCACTTTCTAGGCATATCACATGACTATTTTACCTGGAACAAATTATGCAGATGACTTGTAAAGCTTGAATAACTGACCTTAATAAACTATGCTTACTCTGATTTATATATATTATCATTTTTTTTTATTAATACATTGGCCGTTTCCCACCAAGGCAGTAGCAAATTGGTAGTAATAATAGCTCAGGAATTTTCTTTAAATTGATGAATAACCATATAGTGCACGGGCTTTGTAAACCAACCAATCTAGCAAAGAGTAAGGGCATATGACTAGTTAAAGCCCATTAGCAGTGTTTAAGCTAGGTGTAGAATAAGCTTCAGTTGGGAAATATTTTAAAATAAGCATTGGTTGTTTATAGAATCTCATTTAAAACCTAACACTGTCATTTACTTTATAAATTTGTAGGATGTGTCCATGGTGTCAGATCAGGGCATCATGAAGATAGTCATACCAGATGAGAAGAATGGCAGTATAGTTACTCGTACATTGCCTATTCGACCTGCCACTACCACACGTGAAGTATGCAAGATGATGGCACACAAGATGAGAGTTACAAATCCCCAAGATTATGGGCTATATAAACTAGTGGATGGTCTTGGTAAGTACATGGTCACTTTAATATTGAATTTGAACAAGGTAAACTATATATAATAGGATTTTCATAGTGTACTCAAAACTCTGATTCCAAATTTGTATTTATATAAAGTTCTGAAGTTAGTGTTACCATTCATAAATTCTATAACTTTCAGCAACAATCATTAATTAGAAGAATTTTCCTAATTGTGAATTATTTTAAGTTGGATCATATTTCTCAGGTTTTGAAACCAGGATATCCTTTGTGTGAGCAACAATTTTTATTTTTATTTTTTTTTAATTTAATTATTTTTTCTGAAAAATGAATTGCATATTTACATTATTTGTTTGTTTTAAGTGAATTACTTTTAATTACATTTAAGCTAGTTGTAATGTTCACCCATTTCCTCACAACTTGTCTTAAAATCTGCCCTGCAAATATCCAATCAGATGCATAAATACAGCTGTCCTATTTCATCTGGTCAGTGGTTAACAATAGGTTCATATATATGCTACACTGCAGAGGACTATCACAGGTTTGGGTAAGCTTGGGGGGTTTCCTATCCCTAAATGAGGGTATACCATTCTCTACAGGTATACTATTGTATGTTTTGTCCCTCTATTTATTTGTGAACTCTGTGAAATATTGTTTAACATCCTGTCAAATGTATGCGCTACAATGGTTGAACCTCAATCTACGAGTTTCAGCTGTTGTCAGGCTGGGTGCTCATTCTCTATTGGCTTGAAGCTCTGCCCCTGGAATGAAAAGCAACCATAATTTTAATTAAAAATGTACTCGCTAAATTTACTGTACCCAAATTTCCTTTCTTTTAGGATACCCTTTTGACTGTCAATACAGTACTAACAAGGTTACAGCAATATTTATTGATAGTCTCAAACAATTGAAGGAATAATAGGAATTGTCTTCATTAAATTTCCCTCAAAATTTGCTTAATTAAAGAATTTTTGATATAATCCTAACACCAACAGGACTTTGAAAAAGCAGTAAATGACATGCTCATGAACTCTGCCAGAGGCAGATGTGTGGAACTCTGTGCTCATCAAGAACTGCAAGAAACCCCTTCTACATGCCCTAAATATTATATGAAGAGAGAGTGTAGACAGGAGTCATCCCACAGTTGCTAAAAAAACAACAGATATAACCTCACTCCAGTAGGTTTAGCGCTTCATTTTTTATTATAATAATAATCTCACTCCACAAAGGTGGCAGTAAAGCAATTGCAAAGAATTAGACTGCTAGATTCTTATGATGTGGGATGTTAATGCTATGAAAGTGTTATAAGAAACAAGATTGCCAACCACTTGGATACCCAACAATTGTACAACCCAGGGGAGCATGGGTTTAGAGCAGGTTGCTCCTGCCTCACAACTACTGGACCACTATGACATGGTCTAGGGTACACTAGAGGACAAAATGCAGATGTATACACAGACTTTGTGAAAGCCTTCAACAAGTGCGATCATAGTGTAATAGCACACAAAATGCATGACAAAGGAATAGCAGAAAAACCAGGTTGATGGATCTATAACTTCGTAACACATAGAGCACAGAGTAATAGTAAGCAAAGTAAAGTTAGAAGTGGCTACAGTGAAAAGCTCTGTTCCACAGGGTACAGTACATGCTCCCATCCTTTTCCTCAAAGCTGACATAGACCGAAATGTAAGCCACAGCACCGTATCCTCCTATGCTGATGATACCAGAATTTGCATGACTGTCATCCATTGAGAACACTGCATATTTCCAAACTGACATTAATGAAGTCTCTAAATGGGCCCTTGGAAAACAGTATGAAGACCGATTTCAATTACTCTATGGAACACTTTAGGAAATAACTGGATTGGAGTATAAAAACTACAAAATAGAGCGAAAAACTAATGTAAAGGACGCGAGAGTGATTGTCAGAGAATCTCACTTTCAAAGATCACAACAATGTCTCTACCACATCTGCTAGGAAAATGATAGGATGGATAATGAAAACCTTCAAAACTAGGGATGCCAAGCCAATGATTCTTCAGATTGCTTGTTCTCTGTTGGCTTGGGTATTGCTGTACACAATGGCTCCTTTCAAGGCAGGTGAAATTGCAAACCTGGAGAATATAAAGAAAACTTTCACTGCAATATGATAAAGCACCTAAATTACTGGGAATGGTTAAAGTCGTGTACTCTTTTTGAATGCAGGCAAGAAAGATGCATGATAATTTACATTTGGAAAATTCTAGTCTATTCCCAGAGCTGCACACGGAAATCACTCCATATGAAAGCAAAAGACTCGGAAGGCAGTGCAAAAGCATGGGTGCACGAGTACGCTAAGAGACAACACAATAAGTGTCAGGGGCCCAAGATTGCTCAACTGCCTCCTAGCATCCATAAGGGGGGGATTACCAAGAGACCCCCAGCTGTCAACAGGGAGCTGGACAGGCACCTAAAGTCAGTACCTGACCAGCCAGGCTGTGGTTTGTATATTGGCTTGTGTACAACCAGCAGTAACAGTGGCTTGATCCGGGCCTCAGGCGTTGACCCATGAAAGGCCCTCCAGGTTTACCTCAAAATGTTTTCACCATGTGATGTTTATGATTATCATCGTGCAGCACCTGGGGAACAGGATTCTATCTGAGGTAGGAAAGGAATAGTAGTTTCTTGAATCAAGAGCTCCTCCACCAATTTTTTATTAGATGATCCTTAAATTAAGAATTGACCATAAACTTTCATTGAAAATGTGCTCACTGGATTTCCCCACACCTATTACCTTGTTTTATTTTTCATTTATCTTTCTTTTTAAGGTGGGGAGGCTCTTCATCAAAGAAAATAGAATGATCCTATCTTGGATAGTCTCCCATTACTTAAACCCTATGTGACAATGGGCTTAGCACTTTTCCCCTCCTGTGATTAAAATACAGTATGTATAGTAATATTTGAGATAGGGCATCAAATCTGAATAAAAATCAATATTGATAGCATCTCTAAGGAACCAATTAAATATAGCAATTTGCCTTGATAAGAGATTTAAAGGTGAATATTTCCCTTCCTGAGATTTAGGTTTTCTTCAGGTATAGCCCAAACTGCTTACCACTTCTCCCATAAAGTTCTGCACCAAAATAGGAGAAATGGAAGATGGGTATTAAACTATAACAAATTTGCCAGATTAGTGCTTATCCTAATTAGCTTCTCACATCTGCTGGGTCCATGGTCACATGGATGTTCTGGGCAACGAGCAGGCAGACTGGGCGCCATGTTTCATAAAGGGGTATTCTATTCTTTGACTATTTTGCTGTAATCTCTAGCCACCTACACAACCATTGGCAACAGCTTTGGTTTGAGTTGATTCATAAACTATATTCTATCGAGCCATGTTTAGGTTTCTGGTCTTATCATTGATGCTATGGTTGGGAGGCTACTCTCCCTGTCTTCGCATCAAGCACATACATCTCACTCATGGGTATCTTATGAAGAGACGCCTAGTGCCACTCTGAGAATTGTCTAGTTCCAATATCGGTTTCATATTCTTTTACTGGCCTATCTACCAGCAGGAACACAAAATTTACCTCTAATGTCATCACTGCTCTAATGCCCTTACTTTATCTTGCCCTCCTTGACAACCCCATGTTTGACATATCCCCTCTGACTTTTTGTCAGAAACAGCTTTATTATACCAACTTTGATAATATCTCTTTTAGCATTCCTCACTGACCTTCCTAGCTACCTCTTGTTATACTCTTCACCCTACCCTGCAGAGCTGTATGACCATTATGGGTTTAGTGCTTAGTTGTGATTATCATAATCACCTGCAGGTGGCATGATAGTCAAAAGTGATAAACTGGTAACCTCAGGTAATAATCTCAAATAAGCACAAGGCCTTCATAAATCCACAACTGACAGCAATATCACAAGTCTTCCAAATTGTTATATAGTAAAACAGCAGGTAATTATTTGCAATTCCACACAATAAAAAAAGTTTGACAGCTTAAGAACCAAATTTTTGTTAATTGTTTATTGGGGACTGGGGGCAGGGGCAGCTATTGTTGTGATAACAGCTGTAATGATGGTAACTATCTGTTTATGGTTATGGAGATCTTTGCCTCTGCTATGTACTCTTGAACTAGGTCTTCATTTCAGTTAGACTTTGCTTAGAAGGGTTTATAAAATCATATATTATAGTCACTTTAATCCCCCAGGAACCATTTTGCTTGCTTAAACTAAATCCTTGGGGGTGGGCGCTCTGGTTAGGCAAATCCAGGAAGAAGACTGTATTAACCCTGAAAGGATAAACCAAGATAGCTGAAAGCCAGTGTGGTTTATAAGGTCCTTGGTTGTCTAGGTCTCTAGTTTTCCTGTTTGATAAATGGGGGGAGCAATTGCATGGAATTTCATCATATGCTTTGATACACCTGTGAATTGAACCACTTACTCTTACTACGAAGTTTGTAGTATCACTATGTACTCTTGTTAATTCTTGCTGAATTATAGCACAGCTGTTTGAACATGCATTTCATGTAATAATGGCCTTCATCTATATTGTTGCAGTGTTCCTTATTCTTCTAAGTATTTGTCCCCTCAAGGAAGGTTCCTTGATGTTGGTGAGGGGCTCTTGATTTAGGGAATTGGATCTGTGCTCCAGTTCCCCAAATTAAGCCTGAATGCCTTCCACATCCCCCCCCCAGGCGCTGTATAATCCTCCGGGTTTAGCGCTTCCCCCTTGATTGTAATAATAATAATTCTAAGTATTTGTAAGATTAGTGTAAATTTCTAATTTTCATTGCAGAGACCTTGCTGTCAGACAACGAGTGTCCACACAAAGTAAAGTCCGATCTCACCACCCATGGCTTCCACTGTACCTTCGCATTCAAACGCATCGATGCGAAAATTGCCTGGCCAATACTCTCTTGATTGTGACTACATACTCGAGATATTGTTTCCAGATAGGATCTGATGTGATTTGTGTTTAATAGAAATGCTATTTCGTTGGATACAAAAAACCCAGCTGAAGAATTCTTAAAATAAATCTGGAATTTATGCTATGAATGTTAACAGAAATGGCATTGCATACATCATAAATTTTCAGTCATTGAAAGTTTGAGAGGAGAGGAATAATTTCATATTTCTTGTGAGATACTGGGCATTTTATAGTTATCCTATAGGAATGCTGAACCTAGTTTAAGATTGTCATCAAATGTAACTATAGTAAAAAAAAAAAAGACAAAGGAATTACATACTTGAATTTGGCACTGAAAAAAGATTGTGAAGACTACATGATCTTTCAAGGCTATTATTACCCGGTGAAGCATTAATTTCTTGAAGCCTGGTGCTGAAAAATGTTTTGCTAAAGGGTTATGTATGTCAACATTGCCATGCATTTATTGTTAATGTAGCTGTATACCTTAAACATTTTATTGTAAATAATGTTCATAGATATGTCAGAATTTGTGTATAACAGAGTCTCATAGGTTATGTAATATTGCTTGATGTATGAAAAATTAAAATCTGACTAGTACTCTGGCAGGTTAAGTACTACTAAATTGTACATTATTTAGATAGTTTTTCCTTACCACTTTTAACTATCTTAACAGTCTTATTGAAAAAAAAAACTATTTCTTTACACTATTTTGACATTCAAATGTATCTTGAATGTCTAGTTTACTACAGTTCTAAGAAAACTTTTGGTTAATTTGAAACAAGTTTTCAGGTATTCATTTAGTGTATGTGTGATGTGTTGTCTAGACATAAGATCTATCGACTGGAATGTGCTCAACACAATCGTGTGCAATTCAGGTATTGGCAATTTTTTTAGTTGTCTTTCCTTTTATACATAAAAAATTTCTCTTATGTTTTTGACAATAAGCCTTAAGTTTTGCTCAACATGGTAGCTGTAAGTGTGCAATGTGGTAATGAAAATTCATAGGATAACATGATTCCTCAGGCTTAGTGTATATACAGTAAAGTAAATGGTCTTTTTCAACATTTTTTTTTTTTATGAAATTTTAGTAATGTATGCTTGTATGTATATGATTATACATACATGTGCATTTGTAAAGTATTGCATAATTTGTCTAGGGGCTCCTCCACATACACCTTTCTTATCTGACAAAGGCAGGCAAAATGTAAAATTTCCTACTTCAGTATAGAAATTACCACAAAATAGTGTTTATATATACAGTGCCATTCACATTTATTCTTTTAATTTATATGCTGAAAGACTAAGATGGTATTTCACATTTAACACCAGATTTTGTATTTGTTTTCCCAGCTATAAACTGTAGTAAATGATTTTCTACTTTTATAAGAAAAACTTAACCATATCACACTATGTAGTTTAGGAATAGATATACATCTGATGTGTAATATTTATAATTCCTTTTTTGTATATAATGTACTTTCTTTGCAAATAATGCTGAATGGCTGTGTTAAAGTTGATGTAAGAGTAACCCACATGTTTGATTTGCAGACTCATTTGGAACAAAATAATGCAAGTTATACTAATGCACTATTAAACACGGGCATTTATCAATGCCTATTGATTAATGAATGTATATTTTGCCAACAGCCTGTACAGTAGGAATTATAGTCGAATTCCGAACCATGTTCTGCAACTTCAGATTTATGGGTGACCATGTTTGCGTACAATGTCTAGTCATTGCTTGGTAACTTTAGTTGCATTAAAGCTTTTTTATATACTAATGCCATTACTAAATTCATTTCCAGATCTTGTAATTGAATATGTACTGGTTATATTGGAATTACGTCGTCTAAAATGTCAGTAAATTAATAAAGCTGCTCTTTGATCTAAATGTAGAATTTATATACAACCAACACACCAGCATTACATGTGAACACCTTAGCCCCAAGGGATACAACACACTGAGGAGATTCAGGAAAAAGGTAGCCAGTCTTTGGTTCTAAATTATTATTATAATAAAAAAGAAGCGCTAAGCCACAAGGGCTATACAGCGCTGCAGGGTAGGGAAGGAAGCGAGGGTATTGGATGGCAGAAGGGAGGAGGGATGATCAGTAGGTTACAGAAAACAGCGGGGCAGGGGATAGTACGGGGGTAGCAAGAGATTGAAGTAGAAAGGGCTGAAGGTATCAGAATTTGTGAAGTAAGTCAGTTGTTGTCAAAAAGTCAATGAGAGAGTCTGGATGAAAGGTGGGTCCATCAGCGAGAAGGGAAGGTAAACAGAGAGCAGCAGAGCGAAGACGACGACGGAGGTAAATTCTGCGTGCTCGTTGATAAAGTGGGCAGTCCAACAGAATGTGGCTGGCTGATAATGGAACTTGGCAATTCTCAGAGAGAGGAGCAGGGCGCCTCTCCATGAGTAAGACGAGTATGGCCAATGCGAAGACGGGAGAGAGTAGTCTCCCAACCTCGACACTGGTGATAAGAAGACGGCCAGTAACTTACACTCGGTTTAATAGATTGAAGTTTGTTGCCGAGCATAGTAGACCAACGTTGTTGCCAACGGGTGTGAAGTTGGGAAGATATTGCAGCAAAATAGTCCGTAAATGGAATACCTCTACGTGAAACTGGTAGGTCATGTACTGCTGACCGCACAGCAGTGTCTGCCTGTTCATTGCCCTGTACGTCAACATGACCAGGGACCCAACAAAAAACAATATCTTTATGCTTGGTAAAGATACGGCGTAGCCAAAGTTGGATACGGAGGACTAAGGGGTGAGGTGTATCAAATTTCTGTATAGCCTGTAAAGCACTAAGGGAGTCTGAGACAACCACAAATGATGACACAGGCATAGATGCAATACGGATAAGTGCTGTAAGGATGGCATACAATTCAGCAGTAAAAATACTAGCCGAAGATAGTAAATGCCCTTGTACGATGCTGTCTGGAAACACTGCTGCGAATCCTACGCCGTCAGAAGACTTAGAGCCATCTGGGCTTTCGAGCAAGGGAGAGAGAACAGACTCGAACAGCTGGAACTTCCCAGGGGGGTAGGGAAAAGTGAGATGCTACATGTACATAGAAAGGTGGTAATTGAAGAGAAGACAAGAGCGAATGAAGGCGAAGAGAGAAGGGACGGAGTAAACAGGGGCAACGAACAAATAAAGAATGTCTACTAATATCAGTGACCATTCTATAAATGGAAGGATTGCGGAGATCATGAGAGCGTACATAGTAGCGAAGGCAGTGGGCATCACGGCGATCGGATAAGGATGGAACGTTCGCTTCTGCATAGAGGCTCTCGACAGGGGAAGAGTGAAAAGCACCAAGGCATAAACGTAATCCTTGGTGATGAATGGGGTTAAGGCTAGAGAGAGTAGCAGGAGATGCCGCTGAATAGATCTGGTCACCATAATCAAGTTTCGATAAGATAAGGGTGGAATGTAGGCGAAGGAGGGTTCGACGATCAGCTCCCCATGAAAGATGAGCAAGGGTTTTAAGAAGGTTCAGCCGGCTGTGACAAGTTGCCTTCAGAGAGGTAATGTGAGGTTTCCAGGATAACCTACGATCAAAGAGTAGGCCCAGAAACTTGACTGAACACGTTCGGGGATACAGGAGCCATAGAGATCAAAGGTGATCGGAGATACAACGTCAGTGAAAGAAAATTTGTGGGTTTTAGTGCGGAAAAATTAAACCCCGTGTGGGGGCCCCAATTTGGGAAACACGGTCGATGCATTGGAGAGAAACTGAAATAGGTGACAGTCAGGCTGCACAGGCAATAGGGGTTTCATAACATAGTGATGACCAAAATTTGAGGGAAGACTAGAGGCCAAATATTAATGCAAGGAGAAAAAAGTGTTGTGCTAAAACCACCCTGGGGACCCCTTTCAGTTGGATAAAGTCCGGGGGAGGCACATTATTAACCAACAGGGATATGCCTGTTAGTTAAAAATTTCTTAAGGAAAAAGGATGGAGATTGCCTCGAAGGGCCTAAGGAGTGGGTTTTGGGTTTAAAATTTTCCTCCAAGTTGGTCATATGCCCTCAAAGGGCAAAAAAAAATGGGAATAATAGTGGTTTTTCGCAAAGGGATTACGAAAAATACGTATCCCAAACGTATAAAAGGGGGCTATGGTAGAACGTCCCTTTCGAAAGCCATATTGACGAGGGGGAGACTGTTGTGGTCTCTAAATACCACACTAAAATCATTTACTAGGGTTCCTCACTTTGCAATGCACTGGTAAGAGAAAGGGGGCGATAGTGGGGGGTTTATGTTCCCGTAGTGCCGGTTTGCGGAAAGGGAGAAAAATGGCGGATTTTTCCCCAGCGTGGAAGAACTCCTTGTGACCCCAAAAAAATGTAAAGGCGTAATAGGGCTGCAAGGGCTGATGTTAAATGTTTTTAGCTAGAATATGAATGTCGTCGGGCCCAGCTGCCCATGATCGGCAAGCTGAGAGTGTTGCCTCCAGTTCTTGAAGTGTAAAAGGCACATTATACTGTTCTTCTCTGAGAGAAGAAAAGTCCAAGGGTGCTAACTCTCTGGCAGACTTTGAGGAAAGAAATGGGGGGCATAGATGGAGTCCCTGAGAAATACGACCAGATGATTCCCAAATTTTTCATTGGCAACATCTAGTTGGGTTTGCTATATCAACACCGGCAACCCGCAAACAGGAGCCGGGTCAGGAGAATATTTACCACTCAGTTTTTGTATTTTTTTCCAGACTGCACTCAGAGGAAGCAGAGGTGATGGTGGAAAACATAATCTGGGCCAGCAAGTGCGTTTAGCGTCACGGATGACACGGAGAGCGATCGCACGCTTCTGCTTAAAATCAAGAAGTCTCTCTGTGGTTCTATTGTAACCGGTACCTGCCCAGCAGCGCGTTTCAAACGTACTGCACGAGCACAAGCGGGAGACCACCAAGGCACGCATTTCTGAAATGCCTGCCCGAAGTTTGGGTATAGAATGAGAAGCTGGGGTTTTTAAAACGGAGGACGAGAAGAGGTTAAAAAGCTCATCGAGGGAGGACGAAGAAGGAACCTCTCAAAAAAACAGTTAGGTGTGAGTAAACGTTCCAATTTGCCTGATCAAATTGCCAGCGTGGGATGCGAAGAGGTGGTGAATATGAAGGGGAAGTAAGAATGATTGGGAAATGATCACTGTCATGTAAGTCCGGAAAAAACAGACCAAGTGAAGTCTAATGGGCGGAGGAAGAGCGACTGAGAGATCGATGCAAGAGAGAGTGTGAGTCCGAGGATCAAAATGGGTGTGGTACCTGTATTTAAAAAACATGGAAGGGGTGGGTGGCAAGAAAAGCCTCTAACTGAATGCCACAGGAATCACAGTGAGACCCCCCCCCCCCAGAGGAAATGGTGGGCATTAAAATCACCAAGTAACAGAATCGGTGGTGGTAATGACGAAAACAAGAAAGGGCAATATCCGGAATAGATAATGCCCGAGAAGGAGAGAGATAAAAGAACAGAGCGTATACCACCTATGCAAGTGGATACGGGCTGCTGTGTAATGCAGCGAAGTACGAACAAATAGCTGATGGTATGGAATATCAGGCGTAGAAGAAGGGCACTTTCATTAAAGGTCCCCATCAGGAAAAGGATCTGAAGAATACAATAAATTATAGCCTGAGATGGGAGAGATAACAGCAGAGTGAAAATTTTGGTTCCTGTAAGCAAACACCAACAGGGGAAAACTGGGAGAGTAACATCTGAAGTTCACCCCGATTACCCCTGAGGCCACGTATATTCCACTGTAAATAGGCCATGATTGGCAATGATAAAGATACCTAAAAATCCGCAGGTAAGGGTTCCTAGGGACTAGAGGGGTTAGAAAAGTCCACATGGGAGGCAGTGAAAACGTTCAAGCAGTGAAGGAACAGTGCGCTGGGGAAGAAAAGGAGTTGCGCAGATGGAGTAGAGGAGAGAGAAGGAGCGGAGGGGGGAAATCAGTGTCCATTGATGGTTTGGGTCTCTGCAATATATTCAGAGATTGCTTCAATTTGTTTCAGAATTCAGAAGATGTCGTATGGGAACAATATTGGAAATGGTAGGGGGAGGATGAGTAAAGATTGGGAACTGAAAATGGACTGTACCAAGGTAGGGGGGGGCAAAAGGGTGGAGGGAACTGGAGAAGCGGGGAAAGGGGACAGAAGAGGCAGAAACCTGGGAGGTGGCAGAAGAGGAAGAAACTTGGGAGGGAACAGGGGGGGAAAAGGTACAGTACGAGGGAGGAGGGTAACCTCTACACTTGTAACGAGCCAGTGAGAGGGGGAGAACCAAGTACAGAGACGGGGAAAGGGAAAATGAGGAGGTGGAAGGGGGGTTTAGGAGGTTGTTAACGGACCTTTTTTTTGACTTTTGAGAAGTAGGGGGGACGTTTTGGGAGGAGGTGTCATACGAGATCTCGTAAACTACTGAGGCTTGTGAGAGAGAACACGAAGAAGCAAATCAGACTGAGACGTTGAAGTGGGGAAACGTCTTGACCCGAGGACAGCAAAAAAATTTAGCTACAGGAGTGACTATGGGAGAGGTAACCACAGAGGTGGGTGCAGAAGATGGGATACCAGAAGTGGGGGGACTTTTTGAAAAACGGGAATAAGAAACACGAGTAGTCTCCCTTGGAGGTGGAGATGAGAAACTGCCATGGCATAAGGGAGCCCTTTCTGCCTCTTTGAGGTAACGGATTTCCCGCTGTTTAAGTAGACTTGACAACGGCGAGAGTACGAAGGGTGAGCCTCAGACAATTAAGGCAAGAGGGAGGTCGATTCCCAAGACATATTAGAATGGTTCATCGGCACCACAGACTGGGCATTCGGCGATAATCTGCAATATTTCGCGGATGGCCAAATCGCCAGCAATTTCTACACTGTTGCGGTGTAGGGAT